TTTCTTGCCTCCCTTCACGCTCCGGTTCCATCACTTCCTCCTCATTCGCCTCCAAACTAAGATGGCCTGCGGTGGCAGCGGCTGCAGCTCCCGCCCCGTCATCCTCGACAAGATCGGTGTCAACACGGTTGCCTCCGGCGTCTTGACCGCGGCCCAGAATTTCAAAGACGTGCAAGCGCAACCATCTACACCCCACTGCCCTCAACAGCTCCACAAACTCCTTGGTGTACATGCTGTTTACGTCGCGGTAAAACTCCTCGTCGTGCAGCATGGCTTCAAAAACTTTTGGCGTCATTGCGGGATCCCCTAGACACGCCTTCAGACGTAATGTATATTGCTGAAGGACTGGCGGTGGCAACGGCAGATAATGCCCCGTCATTGTCTCACTATACTGGTACTGTGTCCCCATCTGTCCTCTTGCGGTCCCAATTCGCCCCAACATCTCACCATTCCACACCTTTCCTCGGCTGTTGTTTTTGTTGTTGCTTCTTTTTCCTTCTCTCACTCCTTCTCACTGATCTTCTTTTTGTTGATTTCTTATTTTTTTTTTTTTTTTTTTATCCCTTCCTCTTTTTTTTTTCTCTCTCTCTCAACTGCTTTCTCTGCTTTTGTTGCTGTTGTTATTTCCTTCCTCCTCCGCTTCTATATCTTCTCCCTTCTCTTTTATTTGTTTGTTTGTTTTCTCTTCTTTTTTTTTTTTTTTCCTTTGCTTGTTTGTTTTCCTTTTCTGTTTGTTTGTTTGTTTGTGTGTGTGTGTCTGCGCTCTTTCCCCTCCCACGACACTCCCCTCCCGAGTAACAACACAAATGCAACAAAAAAAAAAAGAAGAAAAATGGATTGATAGAAGTCAGCATACATTACACATAAGTACATACAAGATGCAAATAGAGCAATAAAGAGACAAGAAGAAAGTAATAATAATAATAATAATAATAATAATACAGCCGGCTATAAACCCGTCAATATGCGTATTGTTGCATGTATGTTTACTTGCATGTCTGTGAATATATACGTATATATATATATATATATATATATATATGTATTTATGCCGAGGGATATTATTTGGTTCTCATCCCTTTCCCTTCCCTTCCCGTCTCTGTCTCTCTCACTCTATTGCCCTATCGCATCAATGTGCATGCGCCATAAATGTGTGCATATGCCTGCGATAACTTACTCCCACCCACCGAGTACGCACAGACACACACACACACACAGAGAGAGAGAGAGAAAAGCATAAATAACACACGTATGCATGCAGATGTACGATCGTCCGCAATTATTATTTGGTGGCATACGCTGTTTGGTAGTCACGATACAGCTCGCTCACGTAGGTCTGCAGAGAGCCAAACACAGGGTACACAGCGTATGCCACACCACAACAGGCCAGTGCTGCCAATAAATATGTCAACTTCTCCGTGCGTTCAATGCGCTCCTGCAGATTGCCGATGACACGCACGCCACTGTCGTACGGCGGGAAGGGTTCGTCCGGCAAATCCTTCTCAAGAAAGGCGCACAGCGGCTCCCAGCCGTCACCGTATCGATACACTAACAACCGGGACCTGTCTACATTTGACCGGACTTGAGATTCGTAGCCCTCAAGTGCTGCAACAGGCCCCGCCGCCTCGCAGCGCGGTGTCATCTTGTGGATCATGTTGTCAAACGCCTTGGCGATGCGGCTGCGGCCAACACGGCGACGAGAACGGCAGCGGCAAATGTATTTTTTGTCAGTATCATCTTGAAGAAGCGGTCCCACGTGTGCTTCATACTCCTGTACCCATCTTTTCTTGTCCGTCTCCTCAACAAGAATGACTTTGGTGTACTCCGGGCACTCACGTAACAGGCGGTCGTAAATTAACGTCGCGGGCGGGCCAATAACGGCGTCGTGGTCATTAAACAGCCGCATGTCAACTGGCCGCTCGCCGTCAAGTATCCTGGACCACTCAGCCGGGTGGCGTGTCGCACGGCCATGCTGAAAGGCGGAGCGCAGCGTGTACGGCATGTAGCCGAGCCTCCTGAGCGCCAGCGTCATGGCACCACCATCGGGCACCACCGTCAAACACAACACACGCATGCTGCAACGGCCCGTAACGCCACGGAACATCGTGGACTTCAGTGAGGAAAAAAAAAAAAGAGAAAAAAGGCGTGGAAAACGGAATTACGGCTGCAACAAACAAAAAGAAAAAAAGATATAAATTTTTGCTTCACTGGTGTTGAAGGCTCTGCGTTGGGTAAAAAGAACATGAGGACGCCCTCACAGAAAATTCCCGCAGACAAAAGAAAGGGAAAGAGAAAGCGGAATGAAGAAATAAATGGTCGGCATGCAGTTGAAGTCGCAGAGACGAAGCCAAAAATAAAAAAAAAGGGGGGCATCGGACAACAGTCCAAGGCGGCGGTGTTGCTTTTTGCTTTACTGCAGAAGGCTGCTGCCGGCGGAACGGCGGGCACTCGTGTGGGGCAGAAAAAAAAAAAAAAAAAAAAGAAGAGAAAATATCGCGTGCGGGACGACGTGGTGCCAATGACATCTGCGAGGGTGTTGTTTCGGAGCAGCCCGATTGGGCAGGCGGGGGCGTCCGACGATGGCCCTCGGGTCCTCTTTTTCTCTTTTCTTTCATGCACGCATGTGTGCGTGTGCGTGTGGCGCGGGAGAAAAAAAAAAGAAAAAAAAAAAAAAACAGATGAAACCAAAGAGGCAAACGGAGATGATGTCGAGTGGAGAAGAAGGAGGGAGGGGGGGGAAAAAAGGCAAAAGAAATAACACACAGACAGACAAAGAAGAACAGAAAAAAAAAAAAAAAAAAAGGAAAAAGGAACAGACCCTCACGCACGGCTTTTTTGTTGTTGTTGTTGATTTAAGAGGAGGCGTCGCCAGCGATTGGCAGCGGCTTACACCTGCACGGTCTGCTCGAGGTAGTTGAGCTGCACCCTCTCCAGGTGATCCTCAAAGTCAACAAGCTGAAACTGCTTGAACGCGTCCACGGCGTTTTCAAAAACTTCAACGGCCTCCGTGTTGCTTGTGATCGCCTCGCAGGAGAGCGTATCCGAGTTCCACCGCCCGAAGGTCAGCTCTGGTGCGGGGAGATAGTTTTTTCCACCCATGTAGTACGAAGGGCGCACATCCACCCCCTCTGCACGGTTCGCGCCCACAATGGTCCACAGTAGTGGGTTGTGCCCAGTGGAAACTTTGTCATGCAACATACGGAGTACGTTCGTTGTGAGTGGGGAAATGCCACTGTCGCCTGCACGCTCGTTCGCGACGTAGTAGCCCAGGAGTACCAGTCCCTTTGTGCGGGCGTAGCTGGACACCTGTGCGTAGGCGACACTGAGCATGGGATGTGGGTGTGTCATCATAATTGTGTGGAACAGCGGCACGGCGTCCGCGACGAAAACACTATCGCTGGCGCCGCTCTCCGTGAGCCGCTTCCCGATAAGAAAGCCAGACACCGCCTGTGTGGGGTACTTCTGGCAGTGCAGCAGTGCCTTGGCGTGTGCCTCCACTGAGGACACCACAGACGGCGTCGACGAGGAGGACATTACGAAAAAACAAACACACACAGCGGCTTCCTCCCTTACTTTTTATTCTCCTGTTCGCCTTTAGTTATTCCCTTCCCGTTATTTTCTTTATATATATATATATATATATATATATTCTGTACACACACAAACACACACACACAACCGTCAATAGGCACCTCTTCCCTTCTTTCGCTCTAGTCAGCTGCAAAGCTCACACGATGATGCGTGTACATGCATCGAAAAAACAATAGTGGGAAAAAAAAAGGAAAAAAAAAAAAGACGCATAGACATGGAGGGCCAAATAACAGTCCCTCCCCACCCTGAGGTGCGTACGTATTATTATACACAGTTGTAGCCCATACACAGCAAAAAAAAAAAAAAAGGAGAGAGGGACAGAAGCACAGACAAAAAAAAGAATACACAAAACATGCATCCTTCAACCTTCTGATTTAGCCTGGCTTCTAATAAGGCACTGTACATTCATCCGTCCCTGTTCAAACATCCATCACCGCCGTCGCTGCTGTCACGGTACGTGACAATAATGCAACTCGTTTTTTGTTTTTTGTAAGAGTGGCAGAATAAACGGAAAAAAATAAATAAACAATAAACGAGGATGCAATAAGCAGCCACTGGCACATTTTTGCCGTCAAACTACACAATACAGCACCCTCTCATATACCATTCGTGCCAGGGTTCCTTCCACGCGATGCCTCCAGAACCCTCGGATTGCCCGTCTCAAAGAGCTCAAAGGCCCCTGCCATGTTGTAGTCCTGCAACGTGAGAGAGACAAAGTCAAGCTGCCGCAGCCTAACAACACGGTTTGGGTGACGTATCAGTCGCGACAACGCCTTCTGCCAGTATTGCGGCTCATTCTCTGCTATAGGGTTGCCGTGCAGCGTCAGGGACTGCAGAATCGGGAGGGGGCAGACCCTGCTCTCCACCTGTGACCAGTCACTTATTTTATTTTGGTGCAGTTGTAAGCGTTGCAGCGGCAGGAGAGAGAAATCAGGGAGAATGCTGATGTGGTTGTCGCTCAGGTCGAGGGCGCGTATCGTCATGATGGCATTCACAACAAGGCGACGCAGTACCGGCACAAAGTGCTCGGTCGATTCCATTTCGCAACCACTGACGCGTACGCTTGTAGTGGCGTAGACAGACTTCAACTTTCCCGCGAAACTCTCAAGAGAGTTCTCCACGGCCCTCTTGGGGTCTTGCAGAAAACCAAAACGGGACTTGGCGCTTTCAACAAATTCGTAGACCTCCTCGTCGCCCTGTTTGTTGCGTGCCCTGATTATCACCCGCTGCTCCTTCTGCGGACGTGATGGATCACTCTGCTGGTTCAGGAATACGCCCTGGGCAAACTGTGGCTCAACAGTCGGCTGCACCTTACGCGGCACGTGGGGCGTGCCAGAAACAGGCCGAACCTGCAAGAGATGCAGTGAATCGGGAATTTTGCAAAACGTAAAGTCCAGCAATGGCAACGTCGCGTGACCGTTCATGTCCACTCGGACCTTTCGGGCAGAGTAAAAGTCCTCGCGTTCCGCCAAAATCTCCTCCATTCGCCTCTGGGCCTGTGGCTGGTGCTCACATCCGGAAAGGCCCAGAACGGCAAACATTTCTTGCACTGTAAGCATGTAGCGATGTACCGTCACAATCAGGCCGTCCTCAAAGTAGCATTCATCGCGAAAGAGCAGCGAATCGCGTCCATACGTCATGATAAATCGACTAAGACGTTGGTTGCGCTCGGTGTATTGGCGGCCAATTTGCGCGTACCGCTCCGCCTCGTTCTTTGGCGCCGGTGGGGGCGGTAGTTTCTCCGACTCCTGTAGGATCGCTTTCCGCACCTCCATCTCGACGTTTGTCTCGGCGATGTGCTTTCCCTTGCTCATCCAGTACAGGATCCTGTACAGCCGCTCTGTTGCAAGCAGCGGGCCCTCCACGATGTCAACCTCGTACTTTCCTGCGCCCCCTTTCTTCGGCCTTTGCTTTCGGTCATCAAACGACTTGCTGCCCCGCCCCACGTTCGTCGTCTTTTCGGAATTCAAAGTAGAATCGAATGTGGCTCCCATTCTTGTGGCTGCCGTCGTTGTCGTTGCCATCGATTCGGTCCCCGCCGCGCGGTTTGCTCCGAGCGGCCCACTCTCCCGCGTCCGCGCCACTCCGCCGACCACAGTGCCCCTCTTCTGTATCGCTGCCGTCTTTGTTTTCGACTTTTCGGCGGCGGCCCTACGCAGTCCGCGGGCGATAAGCGGGATGGTGTCGGCGACTGTTGGCGGAGTCGGTGGGTACTCGAAGTGCGACACCACAATCACCTTCGGGTGCAGAATGTCGTAGTAGTCGCCCACATCCTGCCGTGCGATGACTGTCGTGAGGCAATTTCTGCCCATCTCCAGCTGCTCAAACTCCATTGGTGGGCGTCAGGAGCGGCAGTAATGCTCCTTAAAAACAGAAAAACGCAAAAAAAAAAAAGAAGAAGGCGGAGAGAGCGTAGAAAAAAAAAAAAGTACCTCCCCCTTTCCTTGGCTGCTCCTTCGTCACTGTGGCCCCCTTCCCACCCCTCCACCTAACCGTCGCAACGAACTCCTACACGCACGTGTTCACTGCGCTCCATAATAACAAGAGAGTGAGGAGAAAAGAAAGAAAAAAAAAAAAAAAGGCCAACATGACATTATTTCTGGGCGGTAATGACAACTACAGTGCACAGACCCCCTTTTTTTCCGCCCCCAAAGGCAGACACACACACACACAGACACACACAGGCAGACAGACACACAGAGAGACTCACCGACTCACAGAGTAAAGGAGGGAACGAGAAAAATACATGTAAGGGTGAAATGGAGAACTTTGGATCGCAATCCCCTCGCGTCAGGGATTTTTATTTAATTCACTTTTTCCCTTGCGGAGGAAATCCGGTAGAGGGAGGGGTTAGGGCAAAAATTGCATGTGAGAGCCCCCAAAAGGAGGGTCCGGTGGGTGTGCGGTGAGTCGCACGCCTACTCCCTCCCATCCCACCCCGCCCCCACCTGCCGCCTCACGCGCAAAAGAACGACGTGGAAGGGCAAACGGAAAAAAAAAAGAAAAAAAGAGATCTTCTTCTCCCTCTCCCCCTTTTCTCCAATGACCGCCGCACACCGTTTTTTTTTTTTTTTTTTTCAGCAGGAATGAATGCAGCCACCTCTCCAATGTTGTGTCAATAACTCCATCCTGTTTTTTTTTTTGTTTGATCCGTTTGATTATTTATTTATTGTTATTTTTATTTTTCATCGTTTTTTTTTTTTTTTTTTTGTTTTTGTTTTTGTATGTTTTTGTGTGTCCTTACAAAAAAAAAAAAAAAAAAAAGAGGGGAAATTTTTACTTCCAGATGTGATCTTTATTTTATTTTTTTTTTTTTTTTTTTTTGCTTTTCCCCGTGTTTTTCTCCCACTCATTCCCCCTTTCCCCGTCTCTCTCTCTCTGTCTCTCTCTCTCTCTCTCTGTCTTTACATAACTGTATGTCTGTGTGTCTGTACAGTTCGGTTATATGAGTAATACATACGTAATAAACCCGGTACATTTACATAATATACATACATATATAAGTTGATAGATATACATATATAGATAGATATACAGATAGATAGATAGATAGATAGATATGTGTGCATTTATTTGCATACAACACACGGTTTTTGATTATAAAATTTACTAACCGTTGCTTGGCACGGTAGGGGTACCGCCCAGCAGCCCAAAGTGTGCGCACACATGGGAAGGAAAAGAAAAAAAAGAAAAAAAAAGAAAACCACGTATGCATGCATGAGTCACTTCTTCACTTACTCACTCACTACCCCCGCCCTTTTCCCCGTTTCTCCCTTTCCCTCTCTCTCTCTCTCTCTCTCTCTCTCTGTCTCTCTGTCAGCCACAACAACAGCGGAGTGAAGCCTCGTTCATGATAAAACAAAACGACAACAAAAATACGCGGAAGAACAAACCAACAGGGGGTGGGGGTGTGATCAAAAAAAGAAAGAAGAAAGTTAACCGACGAGAACGAAAACAAGAAAAAAAATATGTGGGGGAGAGACACAGAGAGAGAGAAAAAAAAAAAAAAAAGGTGAAACACCAGAAAGAACTTCTGGCTGCACATCCAACGCTTCATTGAGCATTCACTTCACCAGCACTGCCACCCCTGGAGTTGATGTAATTCCTCTCCGTCGACCCGAACTTCATCCTGACATAATCCGTGTTGTTGTACTTGAGGCCCAATTTGTCCATATCTTGGCGGAACTGCCGTATCTTCGCCTCTGACGCCTCCACAGCGCGCTGCTCGTCGTCAGTGAAGCGACGGTACCTCTCCAGAAACGCCTCTTCGTGATTAATGCCAATTGTACGGGCCTGGACGTGCGGGTGGGCCACCGTCGCCAGCATCATGCTGTCTGTCCCTGTGTGCATCCCCACGGTGCCCGTCGGCGGCCGCGCAAAGGCAAAACTCGACGTCCCCACAAAGTCGGTGTCCGTGACGAGCGGCTCCCCATCCGAGCCAAGAGCAGCAGCCGCGGCAGTCGTCACGGTGCTCCCGACAACATCGCCAGCCTCCTCGACGTCCATCTCATCCGCCGGAGAAGCGTCATTTTTCTCAGAGGATTTGTCTCGCAGCCGTAGCGTCTGTTCGATCGACGACAGTGCCTCCCGCTGAGTCAGCATCGTGCGGTTGTGTGAGAGGACGTGCTGCAGGATTGGCTCCACCTCACTGCGACGCTCGCGTTCGAGATCCCCAACAAGGCTGATGTACGCCTCGGTCTCTTCCACCTGCGACTGTGCATCTTCCACCTCCTTGTTGTACTTTTCAGCATGCGGATCAAGCGTCGCCAACGCCCGTTCCAAGTCAAGTCGCTTTGACCGTTGTAGCGCCCTTAACCGGTCTGCATGGACTTGACGGGTGGCACGACCCTCTTCCACCGCATACTCAAACATTTCATAGCGACGAACATACTCCTGCGCCTCATGGTTGTAGAGAAGTTGTTCGGCCTCCTCTGCGTCATTCAATTTCTTGAGTAACTTTGGCACATACGCCTCCACATATGTCTCGTACACCTCCGCCACACTGGACCAACGCCAAAGGCTCTCTTCACAGCTGCGCAGGCACTCATGATACTGATTCTGGGCCTTCAAAAGCTCCAAGGCAAGCGCCATGTCACGTGACCGTTGTTCTCGAAGCCGCATTTGCAACTTTACAAAATCATCCTTTTCTTCAGAGATGTTGACCAGCTTCTGCATCGTCTCCAACAACAACGCCCACAGATCCTTCTCATCATCCTCAATCTTGCGAAATTCCTGGTGTGCATTCTTGTTGGCATCGGAATCCACTTGTTGCAAGTATTTGATGTGCTCCTCCGTGTTCTGTGTGTCGTGGGAGAGGCTTTCCAAGTCTTTCTTCACCAGCGGAAGATCCCGTTCAATGCGCCCCTTCAGTAACTCAACGCTTCGACGAGCGTCCTTAATTACTGCGTCTATGAGTGGCTTCATCTCCCGTACGTCATTGGAGAGGAGTTGCACAAGATCCAGACGAGCCTTGTTCATGAGCAAGAGGTCATTACTGAGATCCACCTGTGATGTGAGGAAGTTAAGTGCCTCCCCTGGTAACTCCTCATTGATGGCGCGCTCCTTCTGTTCCTTTTTTTCCAGCACACGTCGCTCCAGTCGTTCAATAGGCAAATCGCTTTTCCGAAGCTCCTTCAATGCGTATTCAAGTGGATCATAGTGAAATTTCTCATGTAATGCAACGGCTGCCTTGCTCAGCCACACCGCGCCCCGAAGAACGCCGTCCACCACCTCGCAAGACTCATCCTTCAGTGCCAGGGACGCAAGGTCCTCCAGTTCCTGCACGTATTGCTCCAGCGGGGCCAAAAAGTGCCGGGCGTTTAAGAGGCTGTCCAGACTGCGACGAATACGCTCCGTATTTAGCGCCGGGCTTTTCTGAATGGCATTGAGCATATCGGGTGTGGTCCCCAGCTTGAAGTCCTGCGCCAGCTGCTCCATCGTCACCGGCGGCGCTTGGGTGAAGCGGTATCCCTGAAAGTAGTGCTCCATCGCGTCTTCCATCATCGTGCTGGACGTCGCACACTGTGGTGGATAGGCGTCGAGATAATTGAGGAGGTCACGCACCTTCCGGTGCCACAGCTTGAACAATTCTTCCACGGCGTTACTTAGCTGGGCGTTGAGGGCGACTTGTTGGGAGTTGTGGTATTGCTTCTCCCGGAATGCGAACGGCTTCGCAGACTCCAGCGTGGGCGAACCCCGCCGCTGCACGCCAAGCGATGACAACGGCCCGCCAGCAGTGCGGGGCCTCAAGTAGGTTTTTCGTGCCGAGTCATCTGCCGCGGTGGATGCGCATTCACGGCGGAGGGAGCGTGGGATGTCCATGCCGACAGCGCTGTTCAAAATCCGCAGCGCCTCCACCGGTGGAAGCAGAGGCTTCGACAAGTAGCCGCTGTGCCTCACCGCCGTAGCGTACGGCCGCCGTTCCGGATACATGACACGCAAAAGCAACTTGCACTTTGGAACACAACACACACAAACAAAAAAAAAAAAACTAAAAAAGAAAAAAAAAAAACTCAAAGTCTCTTGTTTTCTTTTGTATTCCTTTTTTTTTTCTTTTGTTCCTTCTCCCTCGGCTTCTCTTTTATCGCTCTTTTAATTCGCCAGAGAAGTGACTTTTTTCTTTTCTTTTCTTTTCGGGGACAGAAGGGAAGAAAAAGAGAAAAAAGAAGGAGGGGGAGAACGATGGGGTTGCAGGCCTGCCGGCTTCTGCAGTAACACGAACGGACGCCTCTGAAGATGGAAATGAAGGGCAAATTGAACAAAAACAACAAAAAAAAACATGCCGGCAGAAACAACAGAAATTCCCCGTTTGTTTTTGTTTTGTTTTGTTTTGTTTTTTTCCTTTTCTCGTTGTCGTTTGTTTGAATGAAGGGCGGATTCTCCTGCAAATGAGAAAAGAAACACACAAAAAAAAAGGGGTGTATTCAAAATAAATCTGTACATCTTACATGTGCCCCACACACACATGCACACATCTCGTTTCTTCATGCCTGCTCCACGCCACGCCTAACGGCGTTCTTCTTTGCGTCTTCCTCTAATTTCTTGATGACGTTGTGACCCAGTCGCGTCCCCTTAAGGTCCAACACCACAATGTTTGTATTCGCCCGCAGCAGCCGTGTGAAGAAGCGCGTGGAGGGGAGGGTGATCTTGCTGTTGTTTCGAAGGTACACCGCGCGGAGGCTCTTGTTGCCAATGAGCGCCTCACAGAGGTTCTCGGCGTCCACGTTGTCTAGTGACATGTCGTTGAAGTACACCGTCCGCAGTTGTGGCAGGTGTTCCATGAGATTCAACAGCGCGACAAATCCCCCTCGACCCAAGTAGTTGGAACTGAGATCCAATTCGAGTACGCCATTAGTGAAGCGCGGATCCGTCGGCAACTTCTTCAATAAATAACTGTTCGGCTTGCAGCGCTGCATATCGCAAGAACGCACATAAATGTCATGCAAGGAGGGCCCAAAGTAAACATCCGCCTCGTTGTCCTTGAGTACCTCGCGAAGCTGCTGCTGGTGCCGCTGCTCATCATCCCTCTCCTCCTGCTGTTGCTGTTGTGTTGCATGGGGCGTCTCTGCAAGGCCGCCCTCCGTGCCGTCCACAAAGCCGGACACCGTGCTGGAGTGCGGCAAGTTTAGCCGTTCCGGTGTCGTGGCAGACGACGGGCACAGTGCCTCGCGCTCCGCCACCTCCGCGACCATGAGAGCAGAGAGTTCTGCGGAATTATGGGCTGGCACTTGCATGAGTGGAGATGATGTCGCCAGCAACTCACCCCCACACTCTCCGCTGTCAGTCGGTGAGGCGGCGGCGCTACCTCGACGGATTGCGGTGCCCTCTGCGTCCGCGTCCACGAGAGAGTCATCCGGAACCGCGTCCCCCAGGTGTGCAATGCTGCTGGCGCTAATGACCGAGTTGCTGTGAAATGATAGTTCAAGGTTCGAGAGAGACGCTCCTTCCTCGTCAACCGATGTCTCCTCGTACTCCTCGCAAAGCACCTCGCTGGGCCCTCGATCCACGCAGCTCCCACTCCCACGAAAGATTAACATCTGGCTATTGTTTGATCCAGCGGAGTGACGCCCAGTCGTGCTGTCGTTTACATTCGACGGCTGTGAATGCAGTTGCCTTCGATAGGAAGATGCAGACCGAGTTTTCTGCTCGTCGCGTTTCTCCAGGCCGCCCTCCTCCGGTGGCACAACAATCACGATGCCCCCTTCGACCCGACCGTCGCTCGACTCCCGTAAAAACTTGAGGTGCCGCTCCATCGCCTGCCGCTCGTCCGCCGGGGCGTCGGCATACACGCGTGGTATGTTCTGCTCCAACAGGCGGACGTTCACGGTTCGGGAGCGACTTAAATGTATCTTAGCGGCACTTCGCTCGCAAAACTTGATTCCCTTAAGGAGCTGCTGGTACAAGTAGAGGTGGGCGTCAAAAAGACCACCGCCGAGCTTTGTTAGAAACACTGCCGACACACCGTGACTGCCCACAATGGTGGAGACAGTCATGACCTTCACAACGGTGTTTAGCGGCTCGTATGTGAGCGTCACAGTCCGACTGCGACCGGCACGAATGCCCATTTGATTTGTGACAGGCGTTCCAACAAGCTTAGCGTCGGCAAATATTTCTAGAAGTCGTTTTGTCTTGAGATGACTGTACTGTTCGGTTGACATGATGCGTGGGTACCCCATGCGAGCCACATCCTCCACGTCGAGAAAGAGGATCACCGGGCTCACCTTGTACTTTGGCATCCCCATGATATCCGCCTCTGCAAGGTCGTCAATCAACTTTTGGTGCACATAGAGCTCAAGGGTCATGCAGGCGACAGAGCCCACACCCACAGTTTGCGTTGGGGAAAAATCCGGGCGTATCCGCATGGGATGCATCGGGATAGAAAAGGCCACGGCGGCATCGGCATCAAAGTAGTGCAATTCACCAAAAAGCTCCTGCTGCTCCTTGAGAATCGTTGATGTCATCTCCTCGTACTCCACGTCCTGGTCAACGGCAAACTTGTCTGGGTTGGTGAACTGCGGCAAGAAGTTCTTCTTTAAGTACCCCTCGAGCTCCTCCTCCTCGGAGCACTGCACCGTGCAAAGATACCCGCGTTGGTTGATGATCGTCCCGATCGCATACACCATGTCCTTAATGAGCTTTGACTTCACGGAGACATGGTAGCGGAACTGGAAGCTGCGGCGACCGCCAAGCCGATGCGGACAACGAAGTTTGCCGCCCACCCGCAGGTGCAACAAGTCGGTGGAACCATCAACAGAAACGACGTGTGGGTCGGAGAGGACATGCTGTACACTCCGGATGCAGTACGCCGCCAACGTCATGTCTGGGGGAATGTGCGAGTACATGATGGAGACACGCTTTGGTATCTCCGTCCAGAGCTCGTTTTTCGGTTTCATGACGGCACTAAGGTCCGTGTAGCGCAGCGCCGGCATCATGGGGCAGTGCTTCACATCGCGGTCAAGACGATTGAGCTGCTCAAAGTCACGTGGATCAATGAATGTACTCTCCCACTGCGGAGAGAGCTGCATGACAACACGCGCGGCCTGGTGGACAAAAGTAAGGGAAAAATTCCACTCACGGCGCATCCCAACCACCGTTTCCCGCCGCCCCGGCACTTCATGCGTTTCCGACACAGAGAACGACATCACTGCAAGCACGCCGATGTCGACCGAAAGATGGAGAGGGAGGAAGAAAGAGAAAGAGAGGATGTATGTGTGTTTCTGGCCTGGACACGTGTATGTACCACCGGCACAAGAAGACAGCAGTATAAAACAAAACGACTCACACTCACACACACAGAGAGAGATGGAGCAAAAAAAAAAAAAAATGAAATAAAGAAAAGGGGACTGCAAAAACAGGATACAAAGGGAATTATAAAAAAAAAAAGAAAAGAAAAGAAACATAGAGAAGTAACCGTCTGTGCGCAAGAAACATCAAACTTCACCCGCGCAACACAAAATGTGGTACCAACGTAGCCATCCTCCCATATGAGATAAATCGCCATGGAACTCGACGTGACGGGTTGGAGTTAAAGGCCCTCATAGAAATCGTTAAAAAAAAAAAAAAACGCACGTCTTCTCGCCCGCATGCACCACATGCATATATACGCCGTCGTCACGGCCAGGGCCCGTCGGAGTAACAACGGCGCGCCACCGCTCCGCTCACGCAACGCCTTCCCGCTCTGGCCGTGACGCTTATCGCCCATTTTCTATTCCCGTAGTGAACATCCCCCTCCATCTCTCACCACCTGTGGACGGGTGTATGTGCGCTTGCGAGCATCCCTTTCCTTCATGCACGGCCTGAGAGTTGAGAAAAACCCAAAGAGTTTTGTAAAAAAAATTAAAAAAAAAAGTTTGGTGGAGTGTCGTTGTTTGCTTGCTTGTTTGTTTCCCCGTCCCCAATACCACCAACCCTCTCATATCTTCCATCAAGCGTAAGAGGGTTTTAGATAAGATGCCTCTTTTGCTGCTCCCTCCCCACCTCTTCAAAAAAAACTCAACTTGATTATTTTGTTAAACAATTCTACTCCGCAATAGAGTGCAGCGTGGCAGCTTGAAGAGGCACCATGCACCGTTGTGCCACCAATGTGACAATACTTGTCATGACAAATACCAGATCGTTCAGATGGCAATACATGTCGCTTCTCGGTAACTGCTCCTCAAGTACTGTGGACAGAACACTCTCACTCTCCACCGTCGGAGAAAGACGTAGCAGTAACAGCTGTCCCACAAAGTAAGCACCCATTCCTACCGTTAGACCCAGCACAGTCGTATCCACGCTCAGAAATGTCGTGTACGTCGTTACCAGCCGAAAGACTGTCAGCAGTAAACCACGGACGGAGTTCACAATCATCCATGCGTTAAGGAACACGGAGACCCACACGATGCGCTGATCGCTCTCTCCGCCAGTTGGGGTCGCAAGGCCGTACGTTTCAAAAAGCCGCACCACCCGAGTTGCCGTATCCTCCGAAAGCGGGGGTGCGGAAGAAACAGGGAAAATAAACCACCGCAGGTTGATGGTGGTGAAGAGAAGCTTCAAAAAGGCGTGTAGAAGCAACACGACGCCAATCAGTGCGTTCACCCATCCACGCCATGTAGCCCCACTCTCCGCTAAGCGCACCAACGAGTCCATCTCACTCATCTGCAGGAAAACAGCCATGCTAACGGCCTGTATGCCGTCATTTTCCGCCCTCAACCTAACAATGTCGTCGCCCTTCTCGACAAGAATTCTTCCGCGGACGGATTTCGCCATCCAACTCCACACACGTCCCCCCGAGTCCGCGCTGGAAGTCAATGGCGCTCCACCACGCCATGTCTCCGCGATTTGGCACTGCTTCTTCACCCACAAAGAAAGCAAATGGCGCTGTCGCTTCGCCAACACGCCCAGCGCCGCCCGTGCCCTCTCCCCGCTGTCTTTTACCACAAGCGGCCGCAGGAACGCGGCAGGCGTTGTCACGGCAGCATAACCGGAGAGGACACCCACAGCGAGAACGCCCATCAGAGCAGTCCCCGTGGTGACCGCATTCCACACCGTCATTGCCGAATCCCACGGAAGACTAAATCTTGACAGTCGGCGGATCCACTCAACCAAAAGCACCCGGTCCCTGCAAATGAAAACAAAGAGGCCGCAGCACATTAGCAACGAATAACTGCGACGGAAGTGCAGTTTGTGCAGCAGCAAGCAGGCAATGCAGAAGGGACACAGCACCGAGATGACGGCAAGATCGGCCACAAGAGCGAGGCGAAGTGCACGGGTGCTAAAACTCACGGAGAAGATAAGAACTCCGAGTTTTGAAGCGTCCAGCAGCACAAGGCTAAAAATCAGTGTCGAGAGAGCAAAGATAACAACAAAACAAAAGTGTGTGGTACGCCGCTCAATGGTATACACAAACACCAGACGACCAAAAAGAATGCCGAGGTAACACAGTAATATAAACAGCAATAGAGCAAAAAATGCCTCCAATACCGCCATCGTCCCCTGAAACACTTGTAGAAGCCTTTATTATCCCTCTTTGCCTTCTGTCAATTTGGCATATGCACATATCAGTAAGGGAACAGAGCCGCACACGCACACATTTATTTATTTATTTATATGTATGTATGTATATATGTAACAACAACAAAAGAGAAGACACAGGCATTATACACGTATATATATATATATACTGATATTTAGAAGGAAACAAATTGCTGTGGGAAAAAACTCATATGAAATCTTCAACGTCGGTTTTGCCAATTGGGACAGAGTGAAGACAGACAAACCCATCTCCCTCCCTCAGCAAAAAAAAAAAAAGAAAGAAAGAAACCACCCACCTCTCACTAAAAATGATGCCCGTGCCTTTTTGCCGCTGTCATCATCAACTCACCCATCATTCCTTCTCTCCTACAGCATAAGACTCGCGGACGACTTCAGCGGCATGATTTTCTCTCCTCCACTGCCTCCACGGTGTGTCGAAACGCATCCCGGTCATCTGTGTTCAACAACGAAGAAGGAAGCGGCTCACCGCCATCGCTTTTGCCTCTCTCGTCAGAGCTGCCAATGTCAGAACCCAGGACACGGTGTTCCGTTTCACCGTCAGCTGTTGCGGTCTCCGTCATCAAGTCGCCGTCCTCCAGAGGCACCGTCGTAGGGTGGGGAGAAGGGGGCGAAGGTCCCGTCGACTCCATGGACGGCAGCGTCGTATTCCGTCGTATCGCCGCGGCATCATTCACCCTTCCACCCCTTCGCTGATGCATCATCTGCATACTGTCAACAAGGGAGTGTGCATTCTCTGCGTAATAGGCAGTTGATCTTTCTTTACCTCCATCAACGTCTATCCAGCCAAGCGCCGTGCGGAATACGATGGATGCCGTGAAAATCATAGCCGCAACAAAATAAATGGCGAAAAACAACAGTGCCACATCAAAACAAAAAAAGAAGAAATGGCGTAACACGACGCGCTCTGGAACTCCCCACAAGATAGAGTCAGCGGTGGGTGGAAGAACCATGTACTTTGTTTTCACTGCTGTATCGGTAAATCGCACTCGTGCCCTCACGCGGTAAAAAGTGTAGAGAGCCTCGTAGTAGCCGTGGAATGCGTCAATGATAAGGTGTTGCAGCCACAGATTATTGGATGACACCAGTGGCCAGTCGATGGAGGCCCTGTCGTCCAGAGACAACAACTCGCTGGCGGAACGCAGTGCCAGCCCCCACACACGCCACTGTCCGGGGAGCTGCACGCTTGGAAAAGCCAAGTGAGTATGTGAGAAAACTTCTGCCAGCAGGAGTCTCGCGTCTGCATTGGATGCGTGCACAAAACAGCCTATTGGGTGGCAGAGCGATCCCTCATCAACATGCTCCACCGTCAAGGCATTTATGGGCACCCACTGCACAGCATCTACTTCGTGACGAGCGAAACGCACCGTTGGTGTCATGTCCCCAGTGTGCAGAAAGACAAATCGGGACTGCACGGCCCTCACCGCCTGAACGTGGCGACTGCGGATGGGATAGTCGCGGAGACGCCCCAGGAGAATAAACTCCTTGGAGTGCAGTGGAATTCCAAGCATTTGACCCACCTCCCGCTGAACAGCACGCAAGTCACTCGCGTCGCCAGCATCGCGTCGGCCCCCGGGAAACGTCACGTTGCCGCTCCACCGGTCGGCCGCCAAATCCGCCCGTCGGACAAACAGTATGCAAAGCGAGGATGGCACCGCCGTATTGGCGGCACTCGTGAGGGGCTGCAGCAGCTGCAGGGAAGAAAGGCCGGCGTCACGACACGCGAGCAGGCGGTGGGCAGCGCGCTGCTGCTCCGCATCACCGAACCGCAGGACGATGGCGATGGCGGAGCGGCGGGCGCCGGGCACATAAACATGAAGATGGCGCTCCCCCATGCGCTGCGCAATGCTCAGAAGGAACTTGACATCCGCCGCGGGCAGCGCCATCGTCCCCTCTCTTTTGAACGGAAAAAAAAAAAAAAAAAAGAAGAGGAAATCATCAACGGCTTCCATTACAAATAAAAAGAAAGAGAGAGCAGCAAAAACAGACCTACAGAAAAAAAAAAAAAGATGAAGTACTGAGGCGGTAGCACTTTTTTTGTGCACGTGCGTGCTTGCGTGCGAGTGTGTTTTTTTCTGCGAGTGTAAAAGAGTCTAATAATTTGACGCCGCCTCCCGCCACACCGAGCTCACACATACACCCACACGCACCCTCTCTCACTCTCTCTCTCTCTCTCTTGTTTTTCTATCCTTTTGTTTTGTTTCTTTTCTTCACCCTTCCACTTACTTCCTTCCATGCTTCTACGCTTCGTTGGGCATGTTTTACCATGCCGCAAATCACAGATGAAATTTTACCGATTAATAGTTAAAATATCGCCTTTTTTTTTTTTTTGTCTCTCTTCTTTCCTTTTCTTTTCGTTTTTCACAACAACAACAAAAAAAAAAATTGTTCTCTTTTTTCTTTTTTTGCCGATGTTTTTTTTTTCTTTTTTTCTCTCTCTCTCTCTCTCTCTCTCTCTCTTTCCCTCCTTTTAATTCTTCCGCTTTGTTTATTATATTTATTTATACATGCATGCATACATATTTTTATTTATTTACTTTACTTTACTTCATTTATTTATTTATTTATTTATTTATTTATTTATTTATTTGTCCCTTTCTTTTTTGTTTGTTTGTTTGTTTGTTTCTTTTCCCCCTTTTCCCTTTCGCCATACTTGTTTTTATGCACACATGCCTCTTTTCTCTGCCTCTTTTCTCTGCCTCTTTTCTCTGCCTCTTTCTTTTTTAGTCTCCCTCTCTTTTAATCGTCCATGCATTCCCCTCTCGCCATCCCTCACGTCCACGCACACACAAACTGACCCACCGGCAGTGAAACGGACAGAAAAACAAAGAAGAAGAAGAAAAAAAAAAAAAAAGAGAGAGGGGGAAAGACGGAAGTGAAACGTTCCACACACATGCGTTGGCTCCTACATAAAGGCGACAGGAACGTGACGCCCTCGACTGCGTTCTAACAGGGAAATTGGATGTAAACAGGGGAAAAAAAAAAAAAAAGTGGATTCTTCTTCGCCTCTCACAACGCTCTCACCCTCCTTTTCAGTAAGACCGCAATTCACCACCACCACCACCCATAAACTCTCTTTACAGAATAAAGGAAGAACCGCTCTGCTTGTGGTGTGAGCATAAGGATAGGAAGAAATAAATAAACAAAGAGAGAGAGAAAAAGAAAGAGAAAGCGAAAGCTGTGTGGTGGCGTCTCTTCCCTTAACCGCTGTTATAGTTTTCTGGTTTTTTTTTTTTTCCTTCTTCTTCTTCTTCGTCGTCTTTTGTTGTCGTTCTTGCCGTGTGTGGGTCAAAGAGGGAAGAATAATAATAATAAAAGGAGTCAGTTTCACTACTAGACGCTTGCCCATGGATGAGATTAAGAAGAAGAAGAAAAAGAAGAGGGAAAAAAAAAAGACACGGCACATTGGAAAAAGCACATCAAAGCAGAAAGAGATAGGGAACCCAAAGGATGGCAGAAGATGGAGATGACCAAAAAAGCCATGCCAGACGACCGTCGCTCCAGTTTGTTGTGGCTGCTTCTTCCCATCCAAATTTGTGCTCCGCTGGCTTTTAATCCTCCCTCCCTTTGTTTGTTTGTTTTTAACCGCAGGATTTGTCACTCTTTTCATCGGCACTCTCTCTCTCGTCCTCCCTCCCTCATATATTATATATATATATATTCCTCCCCGTCATTGGGCCAAATAAAAGAACTTTGTCCGCTCAGCGGCGCTCGTGGCTGTCGTGACGGCGGTGGTAGTTGTCGTCCGAGTCGCGGTACCGCTGGCGACTATCGGAGGGGGAGTGGCGGCGATATTTCTCGCGGCTGTCGGATCTCCGCCTTTCAGGGGACAATCGCGCCCGTTTTTCGCCTGCAAGAGACGTGGGGCCCTGACTCCACTGCGGCGCAGCAGACGGCATCGACATTGGCACACGCGGCGGCGGAGGCGGCGGCGGTGGTGGAACACCGTACATGCCACCACCACCACCACCCACCCCAGCAGGCAGGCGCGGTGCCGCGGGATACCCGCCAGCGTGCAGCAACGGGGCAGACGGCACGGGTGCCGCGGCGGCAGAGCCGTACGGCGCATACAGCCGTGCGTCGTAACCGACACGGTAACCCCCTCCGCCTCCTCCCATGCGATAGCCGCCACTCCCACCTCTGCGATAACCGCCACCACCACCACCGCCTCCGCGGTAACCGCCGCCACCACCGCCTCGGCCCATCATTTCGTACAGCTCTGGTGGAACCTCCTGATTCGCTCGGCGCAAGAGATCGACCAAGTCGCGAATTGTCTTCGATGGATCAGCGCCGCTTACGAAGGAGTACGCATCGCCTCGTTGTCCGGCACGTCCAGTACGTCCTGTCCAAAAAGATACAATGTCACGCAGTCAAAAGGAAGCACAGAAAAGGGAAAAAAAAAAAAAACAGATTTTTCAGATCTGGCGGCAATCAGAAAAAAAAAAAAAAATTATCCGGTCGGCGTTGGCGGAAGCATCCTTAGCGTTGTGCACTAAACTCTGGTCAGTGGGGTCGTGATGTATGTGCGTGTGCGCATCTCCCTCTCTGTGTGGGTGTATTCGTGTGTGTGTGTGTGTGTGTGTGTTTGTCTGCGTGCGTGCATGCCAAACGCAGGAAAAAAACGGGAAAAACAGCAGAGGCCAAGTACGCGGGAACAGCAGAAAACTCCCCTCTCCTTTCAACGCCTCGCCGCTGCCTTCACGTCCCATACCGCATCCCCTCCTGTCATGCCTGCTTGGTCTGTTTACTCCACACTCGCTGCATCACAGTACCCTGCCCGCAAATTTCCTCGATTTTGTTTACTTTTCAGCCTCCCGTCCTTGTGGTGAAGAAGCGCCGCGGCACCTCAACCTTCCACCCACCGTGCGGCGTGCTGCCTCAAGCAACCGGAAGAACACACACCCAAAAACAACGGGATTTTTATTTACTCCCATTCTTCGTTTATTCGTTTTTTTGATGTTTCTTTGCTTTTCCAATAAGCGGGCGGGGGGTGGATGCAAATAAGGCAGCCCCTCTCAAAAGAGAAAGAAATGAGAGGAACGCGTGGCAGATGTAATCGCCCACACACACATGCTCCCCACACATCCCCTCTTCAAAGTGATCCCGCCGTCCAGCATGTCTGTTGTGTACGCATGCATGTGTGCGCCGGCAGAGCAGTCAAAAAAGAAAAAGACTGACGGACGCAAAACACATATATATATATATATATATGTTCCTTCACACACAAACACACACACATAGCGGTGGGGTTTCTAACTCGCGGCCGTGTCTGCATACTTTCCAGTAGGCACATCCAAGCCGAGGCGCAGGAAGAAAAAAAAGAGAGTTAAAAAAAGAAGGAAAAAAAGAAAGAGAAAAGAGAGGGACGAATGCCCCACCCACACCTTCCTCTCTCTTTCTCACCTCTTCTCTCTCTCTATCTCTCTCCATTTCGTACTCGCAGACACTTTCGCGACACACAAATGCAAACAGTAAACTCGCGCCCACCGAAAAAGGGAGAGACACAAGTGCACACAAGATGCATGCATATTGCGTAAAGGCTGTATGTATTTACTTTTGCATATGTTTGTGTGCCGTCTTCTTTCCCCCATTCGCCCCGCTCCAAAGTGCAACGCCACAAAAAGACAGCCATCGCCAACAGACCGACGCGAATAGAGAGAGGTGGTAAGAGAGGGAGGTAGAAAGGGGTTGGGAGAGAGAAGGAGGGGAATAAGAAAGTAAAAGCAATTTAAAGAAAAAAAAAAGGGAGAGGGAGAAAGAGGGGGAAGGTAGATGGACTCAACCGGAATATAATTCACATACCAATACGATGCACGTAATCTTCAATGTTAGTTGGCATGTCAAAGTTAATGACTACATCCAAATTCTTGATATCCAACCCACGTGCGGCAACATCTGTCGCCACAAGAACGGAACGGTCGTCGCGACGAAAGCGGTCAAGCACATAGTCACGTTGCGACTGTTCCTTGTCACCATGAATAGCCATCACCGCTCCTCCAAGTATGCGTCGTAGTGAACCATGCAGAGAGTCAGCTGTGCGCTTTGTCTTCACAAAAATGAGCACACGCTGACGGCCGAGTTTTTGAAGAATTTCCTCTAGTCTTCGCTGCTTGTCGTACTCTTCTACCACTATCACGTGTTGACAGACGTCATTGTTGGCCACCAGGTCCTCGGAGCCGACGTGCACGCGGATGAAATCCCGCTGGAAACTCGCTGCCAAGTTGCGAATCTCCTGTGGCCACGTTGCAGAGAACATGAGAGTCTGTCGGTCAGAGCGTATCTGCGAGCAAATCTTTCGAATCTGAATCTCGAACCCCATGTCTAGCATGCGGTCGGCCTCATCTAGTACCAGGTACGTCACGCGCAGCAGATTCGTGGCTCGCATCTCCAACAGATCAATAAGACGACCCGGCGTAGCGATGGCTACATGTACTCCAGCTCGTAGTGTGCGTATCTGCGGACCTTTTGGTGCTCCACCGTACAGGCATGTTGTCGCAATGGTCGGAATGCGTCGTAGCACTTTGCGTGTCTCCTCTTCAATCTGCACGGCAAGTTCTCGTGTCGGGGCGAGCACCAGCGCGATGGGACCGTCTCCTGGACGCACAGGAGGCTGTGCCATAATATGCAGTGCGGCTGGCACCATGAACGCCATCGTCTTGCCGGAGCCGGTCTTGGCGACACCAACAAGATCGCGGGAGTTCAACAGGATTGGCCACGCGATGGACTGAATGGGAGTGGGCTCCTTGTAGCCGAGATCGATGAAGGATTGGTGAATGGAATCTGGCGCCACGAGATCGGAGAAGAGCAGCATTGGCTGCGGCACACGATCGCCGTAAATGGTGATGCGGTTTTCGCGAAGCCACTGTGCAACCTCCGCGTCGCTGCGCTGCTGCTGGGGTTTGTAGTAATTCCACTGCGACGCCACCACCTGCACCTCGTTCCAGTTGACATCATGGAGGTTTGCACCGAGCGCCCCCATGCGGTCACCGGTGGGGTATGCTTCACCGTATGACATCCGCTGCACCCTCCCCCCACTTCTTCTTTCCTTTCCTCTTTCACAGCCACGCTGTTGTTATTTTTCCTCTTAAAAACAGGAAAAAAGGGGGAAAAAAGACGTGTATGTTTGGGAATAAAGAATAGGCGTTTGGTTCCCATCGTCCATTCATCAACCACAAAAAAAGGGGAAGGGGAATCAACAATGCAAGCGCACAGCAAAAAGACAAACAGACACACACGCACAGAAAGAGAGAGATAATAATAATAATAAAAGAAGGCAAAAAAAAAAACACGCAAGCACTTTTATTCAGACGAATTTATAACAAAAAATGCCATGCAATTGTCCACACTCCAAATAATATAAGCCGCTTCCCTTCCTCCCGCTCCCACATGCGTAAACTCGACTTACTCTCTCTCTCTCTCTCTCTCTCTCTCCCTCTATATATATATATATATATATATCTTCTCGAATCCAAAAGAGCCCCCCGGCACTTATTATAACTTTCTTCTTTATTTATTTTTTTTTTGTTGTTGTTGTTCTCATTCTGTTCTTCTGGCACTTCTCACTCCTCGCCCATCTTCCTCTCCCACAGATGATGTTATCCTTCTGTTCATGCAATTCCTTCTTCTTTTTTCCTTTCTCTCCTCTTTTTTCCTTTTAGGGTATGCTCTTTATTACATTTCGAAAAAGATTCCTATTTCCCTTCTTCTCTCCCTCGTCCCTTTCCTTTTCCTTTTCTATTTCTTCTTGTTTTCTGCTGTATTTTTTTTTTTGCTTGCGTGCTCTCTTTATCCATTGCTTGTTTCATTACTTTGCATACATGTGCATATGAATATCTCTGTGTGTGTGTGTGTGCGTGTGCACGCTGTCGTTCTCCTACTATTCCTCTCTTTTCCCCAGCAGAGTAGAAACATTTTTAAAAAAGCGAGAGGGGGATGAATGTGTGTTGGGAGCGTCAGGGGGAAGGGAAAATCTTTCAATCGTCGTAGATCACCTTCATTCCCTGCTGGTCCGCCGGCAGCCCGTCAATGCCGCTGAAGAAGTTGTAACCGGGCGCAGATGTCGGCATGAAGCGCAGCACCTTGTCGTCGGCTTCGCCCGCCGCCTCTACGAACGACAACCCGCAAGAAGGAGCCGCAAGAACCGGTGCGTTGGACGCAGCGGAACCGGAATTGAAGCAGGAAGCACGTCCCAGCAGTGCCCATGAGGCGGACTGCGGCGTAAGCCCAAAGAGACCACCGAAGAGGACAACATTTGGGAGCGGCTGATCCGTGCGGATCGGTTCATAGTGGCGGGGCGGAATCTGTTGGACCTGCTGCGCCACGCGGCTGATTCCAACGACAGGTTGCGGTGGTGGTGGCGGTGGTATTTGTCGCTGTGGTGATTCCTGCACCAGGGGCTGTTGCTTCGCCGGTGAGGTGCTGCTAGAGTCCTTGTTACGTGTGCTCACAGCCCTCGGCGTTGAATTGCCCCCGACAGCCTGTGGGCGTCGGTTGGAGACCATACTGCTGTTGCTATTGACACTGTGGTAGTTGCCGCTGTGAGAGAGAGTTGTACTCGGCTCTTCCAGCGTCTCCGAGAGCTTCGACGGATTTCCACCGCTGGCTAAAACATTATTATTGTTACCTCCACCGCCTCCTGCGGCAGATAAGGCGGCGGCAGCAGCAGCCGTCGTGGGAATTGTTGTTGCCGCCGCTTTCACGGACGCAACTGCATTTGTTGTTGCAGTATTGGTCGAATTAGCAGCAGTCACAACTGCTGCCGCCGTGCCTAATGTGGCAGTATGACTAGGTGTACTGTTGGTGGTTGCAGTATTGGTGGTGGCATTATGATTAGTAGTATTATTACTATTGGTATTATTATTGGCAGCGGCGGTTGCCTGACCTGCGGCGGCGGTCGTAGCAGCGGGTGTAATTTTCGCCACAGGTCGGCTGCCGAACTTTGCGACAGCCAACTCTAACATCTCTTGGCGCTTCTTATTGCTCTTAGGGTAGCTGCGGAGGGCGTGGATGAATACCGCCTGCAGTGTGTGTTGGTCTTCACGGTTGACGAGCTGTCCACCGGAGCTGAGGGCCGCGTTCATGAGGTCCACCATGTCGTTCCTCAACTCCTCAGCGACGTCCTCCTTCTTCTCACTACTTCCCTTTTTGCCTGCCGTTTTCCCCTGAGCACCGGCGTTCGTGGTGTTGGTTGTGGTGGCGGCAGTGGGCAAATTGCCGCTTGTGAGGTATTCATGGGCACCGAGTAGATAGCCGTCCACGGGCTTCTTAAGTGTCTTGAGAAGCTGCATGAACACCTTTGGGTCCGCCGCCCTCAGTGCCGCGTATGCCAACAGTTGACCCACGCGTGTGGCACGACCAATTGGAGGGTGCCGCATCATATGCAAAGCGCACTGCACCGTGTCTACAATGTGCGGGTTCTCTATTTGGAAGGTAAGCTGTTCCTTGTCTTCCGCGTCGTCAATCTTAACCGCGATGGGGCGACTCTCGTTGAGTACATGCGTTACAGCATCAAACTGGGACTGTGATGGGTGCGTGAAACCCCATCGACAGCGAGGTCCCTCGCACGGCTTGTCCCTCTTGAAGTTGATCTTTCCCTTGATGAAGCTGCAGCACCAATTGTCTGGGTAGCCGTTGAGGGGGCAGCTGGCGCCGCCAATACACGTCCGGCGCAGCTGATGCTCGCAGGGGTGTCCAAAACTAAATAACTGCAGTGACATGCCAAACTGTAATATATTTATATATTTTTATATATTAAGAACAAATAAAAAATCACGGCTATTCAACAAACTCTTCTCTTGGCCTGTTTGTTCCTGTTGTTGTTGTTGTTGCTCTCTGCGGGGCCCTCGAGTAAAGGGACCGCGGCAGACTGTGCAATATGTTGTGTGCCAACTGCGATGGGATGCGAAGAGGGGGAGAAAAGAATGCAGAGAAAAGAAAAAAAAAGGGGAAAAAACCCAAAGAAACGGTGGCGGCTCATAAAAAATAGGAACCGGAGCAACCCACAAAAAGAGAGAAGAAAAAAAAAAAAAGAACAAGGACGGCAATTGCGTGCTGTAATCCATGCGGGCTTCTAATTGCCCGCATGTCCCCTTTTAAAAATCATGGCACCTCCCGTTGCTTTCCCAGTCACCGTACCGCGTGGGGCTAAGTTGTGTGCTGCCGATTGGCGTGCCTGTTGTCTCATCGACGACGTCCGACGGTTTTGCGCCCGACGCCTTGTTGAACAGGGACTCGGCACTCCCCACCGATGTTGTAAAACGCTGAATTTCCTCGTCGGAGAGCGGTTTTGGCTTCAGCACGGGGTCCTCCTTCCCTAACAGTGCAAGACGGTGCTCCAGATATTTCTTGTCATTCACAACAGACATGAATATGTCGCTTTCGACACCAATCCACAGCGCCAGACCGCGCCGCAACATACCCCCTACTCAAACAGTCTGTGGACGTGTATTCGGTGTCCACGTGTACTTGGATGTATACACACAAACTATTTTATGTACGTATGAGATACACGGAACGCATGTGGAGGATGGAAGAAGACATGGAGACAACAAAGTTTTTAAAAAAAAGCTCCACACACATACATACAAGCAATGAGACAAAGGATTATGAGAAAAAGCAGCATAACTTGCAAGCAAACGTTGCATCAATAATACCCATCATTTTTTGACAGGCAAAACATGTCAAAAATTTACTCCCCCCACCAAATAAAGATGATGCAGCGTCTTTCATTTCCTCATCTCATGCCCAGACTCTCACCCAGTCATCTGCCACTCACAGCATCTGCGACAGTGGACCGCCTTGACGAAGAGCATGCGGCACAAGCATCGCTGCAACAAGTTTGCCATCGTTAAGACCGGCCAGCAGCACAGATGGGGCAAAAACCATGCAAGAAACACCAGAGTGCGACTTCAGCACTGGCGCTAGCTGCAGACGAGAGGCTTTGTAAAGCACGTTCTCCCCCGTGACATATGTAGCCATTTTGGACTCACATGACGCTTCCTCCAGACATGAGGACTTTGCCTCAAGGATGGTGTGAAATCGCAGTAGCAGCGCATGCCCATCCTGCGTGCCGATGGCAAGAACGTCGTCGTAGTGACTCACTGCAACACAGGAAACAGCAATGCACGGGGAGACGGGCGGTGCGTTCCCGAGAATGTACAGGTGTGACTTCCATATATCAAACAACAAAACGCGGCCGTCGACTGCGACGCACAAGACAAGGTCAAGGCCTGTCATGTATACAGCATGCTCCGGCACAAACGGCAGCTCACGGCGTACCAACACTGCACCTCCATTAACCACAAGATCCACCAAAAGGATTACACCAACGAAGTTTTGATCGCGATCGCCCGCCCGACTGTTGTAAAAAATTCCACCACCTCCCCGTCTTCCCCTCGGCGCCGTCTCTGCTGAGCTCTTCTCCTTGGCGTAGTCAAAGCCAGCCACAATAAGTAGCGAGTGCTGATTTTCAAAGAAGAGCGTCACTTTCACCCCGCCGGGCGGAAGGAGATGGTGCGAAAAAAGTGGATCGTTCGACGAGTTGCTGAGGTTAAAACGCCATCCAGAGACACTTCCGTCTGCCAGGCCTGCCGCGAACACGTACCCAGTGGACGAGTATGCGATATCTGTCACCACGTGACTTCCATGGCAGAGGAAAGTCGCCACGCACTCGTTGGAGGTGAAGGAGTACAAATCCACACACCCATCACTGTGACGAGTGAGAAAAAAAGGAAGATGTGGGTGGGACACGACCATCGCGTGGGAAGCAAATGAAAAACGGGGCCGCTGCGACAATGCCTTCGGGTCCCGCTGGGTCGCGCCCACAGCCGTCCCATTGCCCTGTTCTCTGCCCAACCCCGCCGACAGGGTCGCTGTCACAACGTTTCGATCTGGCTGCTCCCGCAGAAACGCGGCCTCGTTGTCGCCCGCCAATATCTCGCGGTAGCCGTGACTTACTTCCGCACCGGCGTCGGTGCCCCACACAAGGCTCTCGCAACTGGAGCGATCGTAGTCGACAGAGCATATTGCACGATGGGATTGATAGAGCACTAACCGGTCTGTTGTTGTGATCTGCTCCAAACTACCGCAGAGGGCCGCCTCCAGCATCATCTCACAAAAGCCCGCATGTGTGTGGACGCGCCGCAGCCAAGTCACCTCCATGTGCCGAAGCGTCGCCACTGCGCCATCACTCAACTGCCCGTAAAGAAGATGTGCTGTAGTGTGTGGTTGTGTCGCATCCCGCAGCAACAGCACAACTTGATCGGTATCGGTGGATATCGCTGCGTTTATGCTAGGAAACTGCCAAAAAAACTCTGCATGGGCCACGCAAAGGTCCAGCAAGACTGTCCGCACTGGATGCTGCGTTGCCGCATCCTCTATGTTGAAAAGAAGGTTACTTTCCAGCAACTCCGCCACCCGTCGCAGCTCCTGCTCCTCCTCAATGAAAATACCGTTGGGGTTCGTGAGAAGACCGTCGTCTAGTTGCCGCACGGCCACCACGTGGCCAACCACTTGTGAGGCGGCCGTGTTGAACGCCAATGTGACGCGGCACAACATACAGCCAAGCAACCACAGCATGATTTTTGCGTACTGCGGTGGATGCGAGAGATCCGCAAAGACGCCCCGTATGTAATGAACCTCCTCCCGCAGCTCGCTCAGCGCACACAGATGCAGGAATGCGGCACTCCAGAGGATCAGCAACGAGCGGAGTTTCTCCTCATACATTGTAGCCCATAACAACGGGCCGCCATCTTTTCCGGTGTTTAACAATTCATGAGAGGGTGAAAAGGCCCCAACCTCTCCCGTCTCTTCTTCTTTCAGTTGCTCCATAGTCATAGCCCGTACGCGCCTCAGGACGCCTTGCAGTCCGCGCACATATGACAGGACAGAATCCAACGTTGCCGTCTCCGAATTTTGCTCACGAAGGACCTTCACCACCGTTGGGAACTCCAGCAAGGCGCTCGCCAGCGCGTAGTCCGTATTCTGAATTGCTACTGACAACAGCACCAGGCGCACGGCGACAATTACAAGACGCGATACAACACCCTGCATGGGTAATGGCAAGGGTTCATCGGACAGTGGATCAGCACGAGAGTTCTGCAACAATAAGAGTGATTTCAAGAAACATGCCAAACGATTCTCCACACGAGCTATGGGCATATGCCTGCCAACATCCGCCACCATGCGAGCCGTACAAACGAGAAATGCATGCACAGTACCCCTGCCGCCGTCTTTATCTTCTGTCAAGCCATCAGCTGGAATTGTGCCATGAAGCCGGCTCCAAGCCCACTCCAGCTCCCTTTCCAGTGCCACCGCTGAGATAACATCAATCTGACTCGCATCCTCTTCTTCCTCGTGATACACCATTCTTGAAGGTGCAACTGCTGTAGACGCCACTTTTGCGTCAAGTGCATCTTTCTCGACGCCATGAATGTTATTACTATCGTTCCCATGCTCTCCTCCAGCATACTCATCATCCTCATCATCCAGACCAAAGCCGTGAAACGTCAATGTGCCAGTGTTAAAATCAGCTTTGGTACGTGTAGCAAAGGTTATTTTCGCTGCCACTGCCTTGTGCTCCTCTGCCTTTGCACCTCGCACCTGTGCGAGCAGCGCCTCCGCTTCGCGACAGCTCATCATTGCTGGCAGTTGCATCCCTTTGGCGTGTGAGAGGCGAGTCATATGCATAAGCAAAAGCAGCTCCCGCAAAGGAGTTAGTCCTTCCCCACGCACGTGCCGTCGCTCATTCCGCAAGAAGCTCACAATTTCGGCAGCCTCAACGGCGCACAGCGGTACATGACGTGAAAGCAACCCACGGGCCTCTCGGGTCAGTCCGCAGTGCCAGAGCAGGCACGCCTCTTCCCAGACGTTCATCGGTCCATATTCTGCCTCCTCACGGACTCGCTGCTCAATAAACCAAAGCAAATCATCCCGATTGTCATTACTGGCCAAGCGCAAAACCAACAGGGCAAGTGCAATGCTGCCGTGACGCTGCAGAAGAACTTGAGTGGCATTTCGGAACTCCCCTGCAAGAACAAAAAAGGCCGCGCCATATGCCACCATATTCTTGCTCACAGCTGCAAACCCATTACCGGCAGCGGCTGTCTTATTCTTTGATTCATTGAAATTTCGCAAAAAAAAAGCGTGCAGTTTCGCGTTTCGCTCCGCCTTACACAGGGCCGCAAGAACACCAACTTTCCCAGCAAGAATGTACATGAGAGCACATTCTCTTACATCCCTTGTTGCCTGGTACTGTCCGCGTGCCACCCGCTCCGCCAGTGTCCGCAGCCCCTGCAGCGACCTTAACCAGAATGGCACCCCGGCAGCCTCCACATCGGTCCACGAGACAGCATCCTTCCCATCATTCCCGTCCAGGAGGTCATGCAGCAACCGTGGCTGTGCGTCGGAGAGCGCCGCCCACAAGAATGCAGTGTGCGTATGGGGAATGATGTTTTTGAAAGTCTCACGCACGCCCAGACGTCGCCAAAGTTGGCCTAGTTTGTGCAAGAAAAAAAACTTTGAGGCTGCCACGTCCATGCCAATAGTAAACAAACACACCGCTCGTATGGCATCCACAACGCAGACAAGACCCAACTGTTCTTGGCTGCTAAGGCCCCGAAGCTGCGCCAAGGAAAGCAGCTCCATGACCTTCTCGAGCATTTCCGGGGTGAATCCATTATCTGACACACTAGGGCCATCACTCTTTTCATCCATTTCCAGGAGACGCTCTATCTGCAAGTCAATATTAATTGTGACTTCGGCGGAAAAGGTGGTGGCATCCAGGTCCCCTTGCGCCACAGAAGACCTCTCACAGAGCCGGATGCTTACTGGGTTGTGACAAAACTCCCTTGCCAACACGCTCGGGTTGATGTCGTCTGTGACAGAGACTCCATCAGCATTCATTGCACAAGCGAACTGGAGCACGTACTCTAGTATAAACCGCACCGCTCGCCACCTCCCCATTCTCAGAAGCACAAGGAGTGTCGTAGGATGATATATCTCCACGGTGGAATCCGTGTTGAAATTATCAATCCGCGACTGCATGAAAGTCGCCGGTGCAGAGGGTGGAGTATTCCAGGCATGAATAAAAGAGCCATCGGAAGAAGAAAACAGCAGCTTCTCCAATTGCATCTCTCCCTTGTTAGGACCCTTTGTTTCAGCCCATAATGGGGCCATAGCCGTGATTTCTCCTCGCCAACTAACCTCATCGTGTGCAGGACCCCCTTCCCAGTGAAAGCCGTCCTCCCCACCCGTAGCAACCCGAATCCACCGATCGATGACGTCTTTGTGCCGGTGCAGTACAAAAACAGTGGAATTTTGACTCAGAGCAAACGACAGCACATCTTCCATCTTCAACTCCAGAAAAAACATTGGTGGTGCTGCAACGTTACGGAGCAGGTCCAGTCCGTACAGCCATAGCACCCTTCTCGTCTCCGCGCCATATATTGTGCCCATAACACCAACAATAACTGCCCTGTTCACAAGCCTGGTCGCCTTGACTTCATCCACACGATACCGTGGGAAGTTTTCAAAGGGCTGAAATGACAATGGAGGATTATCGGGTAGTGATTTTGCCCGTACCGTGATGCTTTTAAGGCTTTCCACCCACTCGCAAAACACTTCCTTGTCGTCAAAGTGGCGGAGTTCTTCAATGGGCGCAGCATTTAAGGAGCGCATCGGTGCTATCGCAGGAATTCTTGCCGCGGGTACAACCAGTTCGCTTTGCACTGCCGAAAAGTTCTCGAGAATGGTGGTAGGAATACACCACCACTCCTCCCTACCGTTTATTGAATGTCTCGTAGAGCAACAGATACCCTCCGCAGTAAACTGCACATGCTGCAGCCGAAATCCCGTCTCCAGTGGCAACAAGGAGGAGGAGGAGGCGGAGGAAGACAATTTCGAGTGTGCATCCAAAACACTACCAGGATCATCATTGGCATGAACCTCCTTGTGAGGCGCATCTGGTGACTCGATTGGGCCGTATTTCGCTGCCAGCCGGGTTAGAAGCTTCCCTGCATCCCCACCGCACGCCTTCATGAGCGACGGAATCATACGCGCTTTTTCAGGGCACTTCGCCTCCACAAAAAGCTTAACAGCCTCCTCTTCGCCCTTCTTTTCATCTCCAGCAACGGTGTCATACGTGTCCATCGTGGCGCCGCACTTCCGCAGCCCCTGCATTCGTTGGCGGTGTTCCACAGAAATTGGAGATACTGCAAGAAGTGTCGTTTCAGCGACACCACGATCTCTCGTAACTTGCTCAATGACAAACGCGCGCTCGTGTGAGATTCCCAAAAGCAGCACCTCTCCATCATTGCCCCGAGATGTGGAGAGGCAAAGAGGCAGTGAATCGACACCAAGCGTCAGGAACGCCTCCACACGTATGACCATCGTTAAAAGGTCAATCATCACCTTCGCCACCATGCCGTTGGCGAAGTGCGTCAGCAGACGATACCTCCGCGTCCTCATAAGCTGTTCTGCTTGAGGGGTAAAGGCGCCAAGCTCAACGGCCCGGAATTTCCAGACCGGTAGAACATCCACACGAACAATTTTTCCATAATTCTCTTGTAATGGCAGTAACAATTTGGAGGCTTTAACACCGGCAGAGCGCTGCATAGGGAATCCCCCTAACTTCTGTCGACCAAATCGGTAGCATACAGAACGCACTGTACCGTCATCCTCGAAGCAAAGAAATTCCAGCTTGTTACTCAAGGATTTTGTGTGGATAGAACGGCAAAAACTTGGAACGAGTTGCGCTCTTAGAGAATACGACATTGAACCAAAAGAAACTGTCCCAAAAGGTACAAGCTGAAATGAGTGATCACTCTCCTTACGTTGCGTTAATTCAGTTTCACTGTTTTCCCCGAGCTTCTGCCGCGATGTCCATACCTCTGGTATGAACTGCACGACGAAAAGAGCAATGGAAATCTGATCGTCATTTGGATGTTGACATGTGACGCACAAAATTGTATGGGCGGCGATATGGTGCCACTCAACTGCTGCTACTTTGTAAACCCCTAACTTTGCTAGCACTCCGCGCAAGGCAAATTTGTCACACTTTTTGGGATCCTTCCCATTGAATGAGGCCTTCGCATGCGAGGGTGGGAATAGAATGCTTGGATCACACTCCTCCTGCAGGGAAGGTAGCGACGAGGCGGCCTCCTGGCAACGCCTCACCCTCCGCGGAAACACCTCCACAGCAGAGGACTTCACAACAAATGCAAGATGCAGATTCGTGCGGCAAACGGCCACTGTACTGTAGGAACCCCAACTGCGCCACTTGACAATGTCACCATCTGCGCCAATTTCGACTACCACTGCCCTGTCACCCAAAACAATGGCGAGCGAGGAAACTGAGGTAAACTCCGCGTCCACCGCACCACGCACTTCCTCGCGACGCACTGACGCATCCCACCCTGACATCCACGATGGCGTTGAAAACGAAGTTGCTTCCCCCTGGGGCAAAACAGATGCCAAAGAAAAGAAAGAAGATGCACATCGCTTCACCGTAGAGGTACCAAGGTGGCTTTCCACCAGAACCCGTCTGTGCCTCAGTTGCATGTCGCCCTCGCTGACATCCACAACAGTTACCCCATTTGTCCCCACCACAGCCACTCGGATTTCATCACTAAATTGGCAAAAGCGAAGTTGACGCAAGGTCGCTGCCTCCGTATTTTTTTCACTTCCCACTTGCTCCCCTCCCGGATCGTTAAAAAGAGGCCCACATGCGCACAGCGTTCCCTCCTTCAAAAAAAGCAACCGATCCGCCAAGGCCATCGCCACTCGAAGCTCCCCAAGAGCGTTGAACGCGCAGGAAAGGTGACTGCAGCGCTGCGGAAAAAACACTTCCCCAGAATGCATGCTCTTCGCCCGCGTAGTTACGAGTGCCAGTCCGAATATATACAAATATACGTGTGTATGGGCGTTTCTAACAAGGCCTCCACCATAAAGAAAACACACACAGACAGTAAGCACTCCGTCGGGTTAGGGTTGGAAAAAGGCAAGGAAAGGGTTAAGGGAAAAATAATAATAATAATAATAAAACGACCGAGTCACCAGCACGCCCACACCCCTACTTTCTCTACCCAATCACTACAAACCAAATACGACCAAATTAAAATAAAGACAAAGAAAGAAAAAAGGAGAACAAAAGTATACACCTGCGCATGTATGTAATTGTGAGAGAAAAACAGATTCATTAGAATTTAATTTAACTGTGAATACCATTGGCATTACTTCGGTTCATGTAACAGACGTCACTGCACGACAGCCATAACATCAATGCCAGAGATCCACTTCTCCCACCGCTCCGCTGCCGCGTCATCAAGAGCATGGCCAAACACACAAGCCTGTGTTAGCAGTAATCGACCAACCCCACACTCGCGCGCCACGCAATACACGGCTCCGTCCTCCTTAAGCCGTATCCACACCGAATGCTCTTCACCCTTTCCAAAATTCCGCTTTATCGCTGGCGGCATCTTTTGTTGTCTCCTTCCTTTACGAAAGATAGCCGTCCTTTTCTCAAGTGGTGCATCGTACAAATACTCTGTTATAACATAATCAATGTAGTCTTCAGAGCAGCGGAGCTCATTGAGAAGGGTAAAAGTCACCTGTCGCCGGAAAGTTAGACTGACATCCTCAGCCGTCACGGTGATGGAACCCAGTGAAACGGCGCTAATTGCAGCTGTGGCCACAGACGTCACGTTTTTATACGTCATGGACATGGAAGGAATACGTACGACAAGACTCCCATCGCGAAACAAAAAACCAGGCTCTTTTCCTACGCCCAACGGGGTCCATGAAGCAGCACTAGCTATGCATAAACGAAATGTGCGCTGTAACCATTCACACTGCGCTTGACAAGGATGAGTGTTTTGGTTTGTGTTGTTGAAATCCAATCTCTCGTTAGATGCTGGTGCTAGGAGCACCACACAGCTATCACTTCCCACCCGCGGCTCCGCTATCCATGCCACTACCCCCTCCACATCCCCTTTTTCCTTGGAGAGGAAATAAAATGTGCTGCGCGGGGACACGCCACAGAATGATGAAAACGCCGCCAGTTCCAAAATGGAGGGGTTCACTCGCTGCAACAATTCACTGTGCCATCCACTTCGTTTTACATGTTGCGCCCAAACTCGTTCTATCGCGTGATGCTTCATTAAGGAAACACCAGGACTCATTGGTAGAAGCACCACCAAGACAACAGAGTTGACGCCTCGCACGGCAAGAGACAGATTCTCTGACACCAGGCCCAACTCCTCCTTCAAATTCCTAAGCATCCCGTCCACGCGTTCGCACAAAGTCGGATTCCACTTGACAGCGCCCATTGCCTGTCGAGTAATGTGAACAACAGAACGACCCCGCATTGTGTAGACCACACCAACACCACAATTATGCGCGGAAGCATCAGGCACCGATCCATCCAAGCGATGCATGTAGCGTTCCCTCAAATCATTTGAAATATTACGGATTATCTTCTCCATATCACCAAACTCCATATCCGCCACCCACAAGGCCACACACGTCAACAGTGTGTACTGGTCAAGCAGTGCCGCCAGTGATGTGTGCGATGTATTCCCGTCAGGCTTCTCCAATTTACACACAACAAATGCGGGCCGTCTTACCGGTTTTGCATCGTGTGCGAAAAATGCGAACAACCGCTGCTGAAGCTGTTGTTCAAGAAAAAGCTCTTCACTCACTGCGCCCAGTGGAGCAAAGTACTCTGCCACGCAAAAGAAATCCCTAGAAATATCAAGTCGCTCAAAATGCGCCACGTTTAGTGAGGAATCCTCAAGAACGTCATGATGTACACGGGCTGTCCAGCCCAGCGGAGCGAGCAGAGCTCCGCAAAGAAGGCCTTCAACCTTGCGCTCCACGAGATCCATAATTTTTTTCGTTTCCTCTTCTTCTTATTGCCTCACAGCCCACAATCCCTTTTTTATATCTATTTATATGCAAGTGTATTTGCATGCATCCACCCCACAGAGACACACCACGCCTTTTATTTTCTTCGGCTCGTCCAACTCGTCGTATTACCAATAGAAAAAGCGGCAAGCAGTAAAAAAAAAAAAGACCCATGGTAACAAAGACATCGGTGCGGTGCGGCATTCAAACGAAATGGAGAGCGAGGTCCAAAGCAAATATGAATGAGGAGGTATAAGCATACAATTTCCAAGATTTCAATACTAAAAGGCTGTATTATAGAAATAGGCATAAAACATGACTTCTATTCATCCAACAAATCAAATATTTACTGAATCCACGCAGCTGAGAAAAGCGATACGACCTTGACGCACAAAATTGGCACAACACCAAGCGCGTGTTTACCTGCGGTAATACCCTTGGCATGGTAGAAATAAAGGAAATTAGCAAGGGCAATAACTGGAGAGTGAATCCCCGTGGATACCATCCTCTCAACGATGACCGGAAACTGTCAACACGGAACCGTCACGCGAGCCCTTCCAGTTATCCAGTTGAAACCATTTCACTTTTATTTCAATGGCCATCCCTGTTAGCTCCCCGTTACCAAAATCACGGCACAGGAACCACAACCTACTCTTATTATAATTTTCCCCTCCCTACCAAAACAAAAACAAATAATAATAGTAAGTCCCAGCAAACAAGAAATAAAAGTGTCATGCCTTAATTATCAGATTAAACAATAAACACGTAGGCAATGCGTCTACAACGACTTTTCAGGCTTTTCGCCCTTCCACCCCTCACATTACATGCACAATGGCAGCGTTTGGTTTCCTTGCATCTCCCTGTGCATGTGTGTGGGAGGAGGGAAGTGGTTAATGTGTGACAATTAAGCAAAAAAGTGAGTCACTTACACGAGGAAGTAAAAAAGAAAACATAAATCAGCAATCCGGTAGAAGTATCCCTCGCGTGGGACCAAAAAAAAAAAAATGTGCTTCTAAGCTGTTGCCACACAATCAACACACAAAAAAAAAAAAATGGGATAATCACAAGAACAAGAAGCAGTCCACACAAGCTGACCAATGCAACAACAGTTGGCATAGCTTGAAGAAAAAAAAAACAAGCAAATCGTACATATAAATAACAAAACCATGCATTCGCGTGTTGATTACGAATAAGCAGCTTCTTTGAGACTCTCTCCAACCAACGGCCTGAGAACCCCGCAGCGAGGTGCACCCAAAGGAGGTGTGTGCGATGGCAAAGAAAAACGTTTACCATTTTAGTGAGGCCCAATCGCGGTCCATTTCATAATCCACCAAAAACAAAAACAGAAAAGATAAACAAGAAAGTGTTCCACTTTGAAAAAGTAGTGGGCAAGCAGTCATCTTCGCCCAAGTTCTTCTCACAAGTTCCTCAAATATATATATATATATATATTGAGCATCACCTTTTTTGCTTATTTCTTCTGTTTTTTTGTTGTTGTTGTTGTTAATTTTTGTGAAACCCCAACCTGAACCGGTGGAACAAGCGTGAAAAGACCGTGTCGTTGCCTTTTAGTTGCCGCTCTTCATCTCTCTTCTTGCGCAGTTCTCGTTGAAGAACACGCAGCTTCTCGTCTAACAAAGCACGGTTATACGCAGTGGTGCATTCAATGTGATCATTCTCATGGTTTGAGGCACGGCTGTATCGAATCTCTAAATACTTTGATTTTGTTGGTGAAGTGACCACCTCTTCAATATCCTTGATGAGTTTTTCCTCGTTAACCTGGGCAGCCCCTGAGCCATCCACGTTGGGTCGCACTGTATAAAGTCGCTCCCCATCAACGCACAGAATACGCTGCTGCCGTGCACCATAGCGATTTATACGAATCACATCAAATTGCTGAAATGCCTGTGCTTCCTCTGCGTCAATATTAACAACAATATCCTCCACTAATAAAGAAACATCCGTGTTCTCGTCAGGAATACGTCCTTGCAGAAGAACCTCTGTCACCCCAAAGCGGTAAAGAGACAAGATGGTCCGTTCAGCTATGGGCACATCCATGTGACCGCATCCTGACCCAAAGTTATAGTACTCATTGATGTTCAACTCTACTGGCCCATATTTGATGCGCAACGAACCCGGAACCAGGCCGCGCCCCGGAAGAAGATTAACAATTGCTTGTTCTAAACTTTCTGCAAGCATATCGGCAGGCACACGCACCTGGCTTTTGACAGTTTTGGCCTGTGGGTCTAAAGGGCTTATTTCCACTGCCAAGTTAATATCCTCAGCAACGGAGGGCAGCAACTGTGTTCTCTGTGGAAACAAAAATAGCTTCGCAGCTGGAAGTGGTTGGACCGCAAAACAGGTAAAATTTTGAGCAGCCCCATCCAACTGAATCACCATCTCTTCCTCACCAGTGAACTCGTCAGCTATGTATAATTTATAAAGTCGAGGGTTTGCTGAAAATCGGGCCGACAAACGATCATCCGAGACAACTGTTTGCTGTAGAAATGCATGCACCACATCTACGCCACGAAATGGAGTCCGTCGTGGCTGAACTGTGCACACAGTTCGCTTTCCTTGAGCATTAGTAAAGGTACTGAACACGCGAACTTCCAATCCCTTTAAAAACTCGGTATCGTTCTTTGGCTGAAATGTGCTGATTCCAGCCTGACCAAAAGGATTCACCGCTAACGCCTGCTCCAGTCTCTCTTGCTGGAGCTGAATGAGATCCCTCATTGTCAGCGTGACAACAGTCCCCACAGGGCCAAGCGAACTTGGATCTGTAAATGTAGTAAACGTAGGTTTCCAATTCTCTTTCCTTCCGGAAGAAGGCCCCACGTACAATTTCATACGGTCATCACGTTGAAGATCCGCGTCCGCGTCAACACCCGCAAGATCAACAGCCCAACGAATCATCAGATTCTCTCTCTTTGCACCAAGCAATACAGGCTTTCGTCAATTTACCTCCAAACCGGGTGAACAAGCGTGACACGGATCACACGCCTCTCACTCCGTTCTTTTTCTTTAATCAAAGTGCCACCTACTATCAGAACTAGAAAGGGACAGCCAAAACTGGAGACAGGAAGAGAGAATTCAAAACCAAGGCAAGAGGAATTTTTAACAAGGAAAAAAAACTCATTTTATTGTTCACAAATGATACCTTTCGTTGTTGTTTCCTCATGTAAATTTGTGTGTGTGTATTTCCTCTTCTGCCTTTTCGTTTTCCCCTTCTTTGCACACTGGCTCTCGTGTTGTCACCGCAACTCTCTCTCTCTTTCTCTCCCTCCCTCTTTTTCCACTCATTTTCACCGATTGCACACCCCAATATCTCCGCGTTGAACGTGAGTAACAAAAGTATTAATTTCAGCCTAACCCAGTTACTGGTAAGCCCAGCACCTCATTTTCTCTCACCCCCTGGGTTTTTTTTTCCAACCAATTCACACTTATTGCGTTCGGGACACTCCCAAATATTCAGATAGTGGGCAAATACAAAGAAAAAGGTAGCGCATCTGGTCATAAACTCTTTTCGTAACTTTTTTTTCCTTTATTTCCTTTCATTTTCCTCAGTTCGCCCAAGCCACTCAATCGCCATCTTCTTGGATCCACCATAGCAACAACAACAAAAAAAAAAAGGAGGCAGGCAATACGGTTCTCCTCGCCTACTCCACACGTGGCACCGTCCATTCACTTTCCCCTTCAAATGTGACTGTTTTGTTCATCCCCACTGAAGTGCCTACAATGCAAAGCGTCTCCTTCCCTGTCTCTGGATCAATGCGGCTCACCGTCGTACGGAAAGCAATCATGAACTTGCTTTTCTTAAATTGGGTCACCGTTACGCGTGCCTCTACCTCGTCTCCGACAAGCACTGGTGCCAAAAATCGTAGTGTCTGGCTCAAATAAATAGACTGTGGCCCGGGTAACTCGGAGCCCAGTAAACCCGAAAAAAGAGAGCCAGCCAGCATGCCGTAAACAACCGTAGAAGGAAATCCGGCGGCTTTCGCGGCATTTTCGTCGAAATGAATCGGGTTATTGTCCCCAACAAGCGGACCAAACGCCTTAACGTCCTCCTGAGAAATCACACGGCGTGTAAAAGCTGTGTCCCCGATTCGAATGACTCGTCCCATGCGTCCCAAACACACTTTGAGCATGCTCAGCAGCCGATACAAAAATGTGACAGGCAAGAAAAAGTTAAAAAACAAAAAAAAAGAGTGACTCAATAGGAAAAAACAACAACAAAATAAATAAATCAATACATGCATACCCCTCCACAAGTGGAATGGCGGTGACAAATAGATGATTACTTGTCAAGAAAAACCTAACAACTGCGCCCAATTTTCTCGTGTGGTCTAGATTCGAGAGTACTGCAAAGCATTGCGCTGCATCACCTTATTCCACCGATGCTCCCACCCACCCTTCTTAAGATGAGGGTCCGTTCCCCAACCAGTGTAGTGAACCCGATGCACCAATAAGTTCCCACTACGCACCATCTTGTTCATCGTCCAGTAAGAAACGTTGGCGTATGGAACCCATTCCCGCGTTCCTGGAACACCCTGGACCGCGTGGTAACGGTCGACGTTGGCTAAGCGATAATACGGTACCTTAAATAGTCCATATTGATTATATTGAAAGCATGTAACCTTACGTTGTAGCATCTTCTGTCGCGTCCCTGATATCGTCTTCGATAATGGCTCATCAATTTGCGAAACGGCACGACAAACACTGTGCAGCCAACTGTCGCGAAAAGACTTTTCATACATTAGCCTAGATTCCAAAACAAAGTGAGTGTGTCGTTTTGGCACATCCTGACCTATATGTCGCATGAGAAATCCCACACTCAGCCGAAGCATTGCGTGCTATTAGCCACACGCCTTTAAAAGTAACAGCCAATAATACTTTGGCTACACTTTATCTTTAGAAACAAGAAGGAAAAAAGCTGCCTGTAAAAAAAAAAATAATAAAAAAAAAGCAAAACCCCAGTGCAGTCTCAAGTACGGTGCTGAAATATCGTTGTTTTCGTTAATTAGACATCTCTACTCCTTTTTTTATTTTATTTTCTCTCACCCTCTTTCCTTTCCTGTCGTTATTTCGACTTCGATGTTCATTTTAGATTTTTTATTTTTTGTGATTTCTTTAATAAATTCTCTTCCCGTTTATTATTACCCTTCGCATTCTTGAACTACTGCAATGCATCATCACAAACTTCAAGGGCGATACGCTTATAAACATCATCAGCAGTCTTACCAACGTTGCAACATTCTTCACTGAGGATCCTGGCTCGTTCAACTGAAAATCGGATGAAAGCTGTCGCCAATTTTCCCTCAACTTTTGCTGAAGGAAGACCCTTTGTGACGCACATGGAAGCCCTCGACGCGACAGCTGAAGCTGCATAAAGCATTGATGCGGCCTCACCAAGCCTATTAAGAAGAAGTTGCTGATAGGGAACCTGTGAACCACTCTTTACAAACGTTGCCTCTACAGCATCACCAAAATTCACCACTGCCTCGTCAATTAGCGATGATTCTGGAATATTTTTTATAGGTACACGGTCACGTACACCCACAAAACGAAGTGCTCTTGCTTGCATCATCTGCAAAGTTGAAGCCTTCTGAAAAAAAAGACCATATTCTTCAACACCACAACAAACAGCTGTAGAATAAAGGAAATCTCGCGACTCCATTAAATCAATAAAGGTTGTGGCATAACGGAAGTAGTTGTCTATTGTCGTGTTGGGTGATTTCAATAGTTCCAGCATACGTAAAAGCTGAGCTGTGGTGGCTTGTACAAAGGCGCTGACAAGGGTGCATTCCAACAAACTATCCTCTGCAGGTATGTCCATGTTAGCTGTCAGTGCATACAGAGTCGATTCCATGGCATAAATTGCACAAACAAAATAAGGAAGGATTTCGGTAATTCCTTCCTCAGCATTTACGCCCTGCAACTCCTCTACGAGGCGTTTCATTATACCCAACAAAGATACGGCATAAAGATATTCGTCTGTAAACAATGCAATCATTGCATCTTTGAATCCCTCACCCATTACACCAACGACATCAGAGACAGGAGTATTTTCTAGAACAATGCTGTCCCCTTCAATTCTTAGGCCCTTAGCATCATTCGCGCAGATAAAAAGAGAACTACGATTTGCAACAGTGGCGCCTTCTTCTGAATTCCTCTGAATAACTGTTTTAGCTAACACCAGAAAATGTGTAGCCGATGCTGCATCAACACATCGTTTCTGGCCTGTCAATACATAGCTCCCATTATCATTCATTACAGCTCTGGTATTATTCATACTTAGATCACTTCCAAATCCATCTTCTTCAATAGCCCACCCCATCTTTATAGTTCCATCCGACATCGCTGTTAAGTACTTTCCTTTCAAATCTTTGGTGCCAGTAGACGCCAAGACATGGGTACACACTCCGCTGTGTCGCATGGTGGAGAATGACTTGTCGATGCAATTGTTACCTAATTCTTCATAGATAAGAGCATGAGCAGTGTGCCCTAGTCCCAATCCACCGTATTCTGTGGCGATTTGTGCTCCATAAAGGTTCCCGAGTATATTTTTATTACTTCGAACGCTTTCCAGTACGGATTCAAGATTTTCCGCTTCATCACCGTCCATTTTTCTACAGGGATAGGGAAACATCTCTCCCGGTATTATTTTAAAGTTAAAAAGTCCTCCTAGATAGGAGACTTTGCGGAAATATTGTGTCCGTTCAAAGGCTTTAGAAAATCTTCGCATCATTCACAGCAGACTGATCTAGTTCTGAACACCTTTATTATGGCCAAATGGGGCAAATAAGCAAGAGGAAGAAGAAAAAAAAAAGAATCCCAGACAGCATTTTTACGATGCATAAAAATAGCTTTTTTTTTCTTTTTTTTTTTCTTTTTTTCTCTTTTTTTTTTTTCTTATGGATCACTTTAATATTGATAAAAAAATATTTATTTTTCAGGTGTTTATTTGTATCGCTTAGTATTGCACTTCCTCATTTGAATGATTCTTTAAATCAGCTATGTTAAAGGGCAAAGTTGTCCATTTGGGAAAAACGCGCTTGTAAAGATCCATGCAAACAAGATCGTGCTGCATAACTTGATCATTAAGAGAAGCCTTAAATAATCCATGAGTTCCAACAGCCTTAGTTATCTTTCCTCGCCTTCCCATCCGAGTATGTAAATCCACGGGCTGGAACCATCGCACATCATTGTCATTAAAAAACATATATTTCACTACAATTTGCTTCTTGTGGATAGTCGCCACACGACCTGTCAACACTGCACGCTTTAGAATCAAAAGATCGGGGTTTGGAGGCAGCGCTCCGCCAAAGCATGCTAACCGTAGAGAATCTCCAGATTTTTGTTCTTCCAAAGAGGGTACTTCAAAAAGAAGAATCGGACATGGTTGATAAGAAATCGGTCCAAAAAATGAAGCCATACAAAAACTCTCAGAAGGATGAAAAAAACGAGCAAATTTCGTGCGATCAGATGCCGTAATATCGCTAAACAAAGGAGACACATAAAACTTCCGGAATCCAATGTGAGCCAACATGGGTGTCTTTGACTTGATTGGCTCTTCCCATTCTAGGTTTCTCTGAACTTGAAAATGCAATACTGACCATTTTTGCTCGTGTTCCAACTGACCTGAAGCTATAATATACCCACTAGTCATCGCGTTTTCCCAGACACTTTTTGGAACTCCTACAATAGTAATGTAAACAAATTGGTTAATAACCACAGGACCCTCAGCACATTTTGTTAGAGCCGCCTTTCGAATCCGTGTTATACCCTGTAACTTGTATATGTAGGCATAGTGTGGCGGAAGATTCTCTGTAATATCCCATTTGCCTGTTGGAAAGCTTTTTAATCCACGGTATTTTGCAAATCTCTCTCTAGCGGGCAAATTCAAAGGCGTATTAACCATATCCGGATTCCATGCATCCCCTTCGCTTTCTTCACGAATTCTTTCAATTTCTGCTTCACGTTCTTCATCTGTCACTCGCTCCAGACGAATAATATGCCTCACCTTAAGAAAATCAACGTCAGTTTTTGAGGTGTAATGCGACAAGAATTCTGCGCCAACAGATGCGTCCTCCTCCTCTCCCATTAAATTTATTGGCATCGGAGTTTCTTCCAATATTTCGTTTTCTTCAAGGTCATACCATGCCGCTTGATAGTCTGAGACACCTTCGGGGACCCTGATCTTTTTCGTATCCAATGAGTGGTGATAAGCCAGATCCTCCTCCGTGGGTCCCTCCGCATCCTCAAGAGTGGCATTAGCTTGGACATGCTCTAGCGGCTCTCGCTGATCCACCTGAGAGTAATCAGCATAATGAGGATCTCCAGAAGTTGGATCATTGAAGGAAATGCCCTCAATTTGATACGTTCCATAATTAGTGAGATGAATTAGTTGTTTAGAAGAAATAGACATCCCTCTTAAATAGCCCCCAATTATTAATTTCTGAGTATCACTAAGGTAGCTGCCCTGCTCAACTACCAAGTAAGGATGTTGCTCACGCCATAACAAGGAACGCAGTTTGGTAACTTGTAGATGACGCAACAATGAGTCATATTCATTATCCTCGACTATAGCAAATGTCTTTGTTGTGTCCGGAAGGACCGAGGTAAAGTAACGTTGATGCACCCGCAAAACCTGTTGACGTTGTTTTTCGGCAAAGGTTTCCAAATTCTGTAAAACGACAACAATGCTCGGCACTCCTTGCGCATTTAGAGCAGTAATCATGCTCCTTGTAAAATCCGTGATACATAACCCAATATCTCCAAACCACGTTTTCCCGCTAGCCACGGAGCAACCCTCATCATGATCGTATTCAATAGGCGGAGCGTCTTGCATTTCTCGTATAGTCTGTTGAACTGACTGAGATGCGTCCAATGTAAAAACCAAAAAATCTGCAACCTTAGCAATGTCAATACAATCTTGATCATTATATTGATTTTCCCATATAAAAGTAAAATTCGCCTTTTTTTCCTTTGATGTCATAGAAAACGGAAAACATTTATCGGGCTTAACCCCACCCATGGCCCGACAAATCCCCTGAACAACTAAATCAGTGTTCCCTGATTCATTTGCAGGAATTACCCCGATCACTCGCGGAGCGCCACCAAGGCTTCCCAGTTGATTAGTTTTAAGAGCCGAGGCAGATCTTTTGCGTTGTAATATTACAGACTTTCGAATTCGTTCCTTTGTTTCCATAGGAAGAAAGGTCTTTACTCCTGTTGCGTTTGAATTAAAGAAACGTCCCTTCGCATTTCCGGCAAACGCACGTTTAGAGCTAAAACGCTGCTTATGAGCCTTGTTTCTCGGCATCCCAACCCAAAAACAGTTATCCCCAAAGAATCTGAAAATGAAAAAAAAAAAATTCTGTGTGGTTGCTTCGTAAGGCTTAAAAAATATATATAAGAACAAGAAAAAAATTCGATTTGCACAGAAAAATCCCGTTTGAGATGTCCCCTTCCTCAGCAGGTACGTGAGTATTCACCGGAGCTACCGACCGGATCCTGAAATTTTCCATGAATAAAATAAAACGGAAAAAGGTTAATAAAAATGAAGTGGCCTCGCCACATCCTTTTTTTTTCTCTAAGCATATATTTTATGATAACCACTCTTGTGACACAGTGTATTGTATTCGGATTGGAAACGTTTGTTAGCTAAAAATTGAAAGACCTTGGGCTCTTCCAGCCACACGACTACGCCGCAGGGTGAGGATCACAAAGTGGGCGGGCGGGATGGCAAAAGCAAAAACAATTAAAAACCGTCCAGACCCCACTGTCTCCCTGCTTCCGGAACCGTGCCAGTCGAAGGTTCATAAAATAGGGAAAACACGAACAAATATACCTTCTTCTTATCAAAAGTTATTAATTCAGATTGCCAGACCTTCTGCGAATATTTTTTTCGCAATCTTCTAAAAAAAACAAAGATAATGTATATATAATCATCTCTCGAAACAAAAAACAACCTCAGTTTCAAGGTAAAGGTATTTGTTCTGCTAAGAAAAACTTAATGAGAAATGTTGCGACCAAACAACAGTTGTTGTTGTTTTTTGTTGTTGTTGTTTATTTTGCAAAATTATGACGCCAAAGCGGCTCAAATAAAAAATCCACAATACAAATTATGCAGATCAACCACAGCAAAAATGTCAATAAGCAAAAAAAGCCTTATACCAAGATGGCAGAATCAAAACAACACACATTATACCTCTAATGAGGTCTCTGTACCTTCAAAAGAATAAAGTTGGCACCGATCCAACCCATTAATTGGCACACTTCTCTCCGTGTGTTTCATTGTACAATATTCTGTCTCTTTGTTTAGAATTTAATTGCTTTTCATTTTTTTCATTTATTTATTCATTTATTAAACTGCTAATAAAACCAAAATTCACAGAAAGCCCCGCCACATATACAAAACGATACGCATAAAACAACAGACAGGAAAAAAAAAAAATCCGCACGTTTTAACAGCAGGATAAGGTAAACGCCATATTCCACACATCGTTTTTCCTCTTTGTCATAGGTATCCAAAGAAGCGTCTTGAATTCAAAAGGAGCCTGCGACAATCAAAAAGAAGACTTGTGGTGTACCCTCCGTTCTCTTGCTCAAAATTGACATTCGTGATTTCTTCGTTCCTGCGATGGGATTCGCATGCACACACACAGCAAAACAACTGCAAGAAAGCGGGTACACGTCTTTTTGCGCGGGAGGCGTACTAAAACAATAACTATTGAAAATCAGTCTAACGGCCCCTAAATTGGAAAGAAAAAAAAGCATTAGTTTAGTCCCTTGAAATAAAAACAAAAAATATATCTGCACGCCACACTTCCAGCGAAAACGCCACGAGGCCCACAGTTGCCAAAACCGTCGTTCCAACCCCACAAACGCACCGCCGCACACGCAAAAAAAAAAAAAAAAAAAAGAACCTTCCGGGCAGCTGGCCGGATCCTGAAAATATATGGAAATCAAACAAGTTAGGAAAAAAGGGTTAGTTAGTTAATTGCTTCAATGTTTTCTTTTCATTGAATATATAGAATTCTGTGGACCACCAGCATGGTCCTTCGTTCCCAGTTAGGATTTACTTATTATTACTTGCGAAGTGGCAGACTTTGGGGTCCTCCAACCACAAGACCCCGCCGCGTGGTGGGAATCAAAAGGGGGTGGGTGGGATGGCAAAATAAAAACAAAATATTATCTGGTCTCTATCGGCTCCCCGCCCCTACAAAGTCGCGTTCTTCCCAAAGGATTCATACGGTAGAAAGCATCGTAAAGAACGCATTCATTTATCAGGATACACATACATTAATTAAGTTAGCCAGCTCTCCCGCGATTATTCTTTTCACAAGCTCCTAAAAAAGAAACACAGTATCTGCACAACAAAAAACCTGCTACATGAAACGGGAATCCACCCGAAGCCCCGCCATTCCGCAGATTAAGTTGAACAACGATGTGGGAAACAAGACACCGCAGGCATCGCGCCGCACAAAAAAAAAAAAAAGGTTTCTTGGTTGGCTACCTCACCGTGACGCCGCGTCCCGTCACCGCGTGATGCGGGTGCGATTTTCTTTCCACCTAATGGCCGCCTCTCCCGCGGCGCGACGCTGCGGATCTCAAACTGCGCGGCACCGCCGGCGTTTATGTTTTTACTTCCCAATACCCGCGACATTTTGGCGTGGTTAGACTGAATTATTCGGAAATGGCGGTGGAAATGCATGCGGAAGTAGGCGTCACCCTTATTGCGGCCCATTGCCCGGATCTTCGGGGGAAGCCGAAAGCCAGCAATGTTATCCTCGCGGGGTCGTTTTTGTTGGCGCAGGGCGGCCGGAATAAAGCAGCACGCGGACCAGCCGCGTCTTGCCGGGGCGCCGTTGCAACACCATGATGTCTGGGGCACGCGTTGCCGCAACGCGGGTCATCGAACCAATTTTTGAAATTACTAGAAAAGAAAATAAAAAGACTTCTGCTATGCCGATGAACGCTCGCTTCATTCTTTTTTTTTTTTTTGCTTAGTCTCCCACACCAACAGCGACCATGGCGAAGCCGAAGCTGCCGACGCTTAGACAGAAGCTGAAGCGGGTTACTGTGCTGCTGATTCCCTTCATTGTGGCCACGACGGTTCTGACCCTCAGGTTCGACACCGCTGCCGATGATGGGGCGCCGGAGCCCAACAACCTCCGCCACTCGCGCGCCCCCGCCGCGGACGACGCAGCACTTGCTTACATCCCACGCAGTGTGGTGGACACGTGGAGCCGGCGGGAGTACCTTGTTGTGCTGGGCATCCCCTCCACGGACGTCGAAGAGAGGCGAACACGACGCAACCTGCAGCGGACGACGTGCTGGCGGCTCCCCGGAGCGGCGACGAGGGCGAACGACTTCACCGGTGCGATGCTCGTGCTGTACGTCCTTGGGCGACACCCGTCGCACGGCTACGACTACTCGGCCGCGCTGCTGGAGGAGGCGGCGCAGTGGCAGGATGTGGTTGCGCTGCCGATGAATGAGGGCCGCGTGACGACGAAGAAAGCAATTGGTGGCGGTGGCACGTGGGGCGAAGAGGCGGATGCTGGTATGAGCCGCAAGACGTACATGTGGTTTGACCTTGCGCTCCGTCTGTTTCCGACCGCGAGGTACATTTCGAAGGGCGATGACGACATGTTTCTCCGTGTGCCGCTGTTCGTTGCTCACCTGCGCCTCCTGCCGCGCCGAAGGATCTACATGGGGGTTCATTGTGGAGGAAATATCTGGGCGAATGGCCGTTCAGTAGGTGTGCATTTTATGGTTGGCTGGTGTTACACCTTGTCGAGGGATGTGGCGGAGGCGTTGGTGTCGTTCAAGCCGCTGCGGCGCCTGGCGCACACGCCGTACAGCGAGGAGCGTGAGGAGGAGTTTTTGTCAATTGGTATGGGTCACGAGGACATGATGGTTGGGCACGTGTTGTTGGACGAAGTGAAATACCAGCCGTTGATACACGTCAAGGTACTGCCCTGCCATTTCCTTCAAGCCCGTAGTGACACGGGGGAATCTCAGGTTGTGCCGACCGCGATTTGTGTTCATCATATAAGGGAGGACGACTACGCAGCGCTGATGGCGCGCTTCGGC